ATAAAAGCGCACAAATAAAAAGGTTGAGGATGTGATAAGAGAGAAAGTGATTCCAAGCTGAGAAGAGGTGGTGTCATGAAAAGAAAATTATGGGAGAATATCAAAGAAATAAATCTCACCTCGAGTCCCAGAGCATCCAGCATTTCTCTCTTCTCCCTCTCACCTGGACCGATGTGTCTCTCTGCGAAGTCGTCATGTCTGGGTAATATTCTCTCGATCTGTCTGGAGGAGGCGGCTGCAGACGTCCTCACACCCCGGACTCCTGCTCCTGCTCCTGCTGCTGTGGACGCGCCACAGTTTCGGATGCTGCTCTGAAGTTTCCCCACCACGCGGCTCCTGACGCTCAGATGCCTGCACGGTGCGCAGGGATTCTTGGCCAAGAAGATCCCCCAGGACCTGGCGCAGCTCTGCATCTCTAAATCACTCTGCGGGACAAGTGTGCAGGGAACTGGTGAAGCCTTTAGTGCTCTTCTTCTTCTTCTTCTTCCTCCCCTCGCTCGGCAGAGTTTCCCCCCAACTGAGACTGATGCGATCCCTCTGCCAACTCCTTCAAACTGCAGAGTTTATACAACTGCACAGTTGCACAGGGGCGGACCAATCAGGGAGCAGGACGCTGCGTGACGCGGTGACGAGCCCCGGTCAAACAGCTGCTAAACTTTCTCACGTGCACGCCGTCCAGTGGCCAGGAGCAGATACAAACACAGGAGGTTACTCAAGTCACCACAACACCACTGACCCCCCCCCCACACAGACACTTTCCACTGACTCACTGGTCATGTGTGAGGCTGAACCTGAGACATGGTACATTGAGACATGTGTGACCGTTCACAAGCAGCAATGAAAATAATTCAGGCCTGGACTCTGCGGGTCATCTTCACGCAAACCACGAGACTCTTATTTCTAAAGTGGTTATAAATGAATATCTGCTCACCTGAGTCCAAAGATGACAAAGTCAAACAGAGTGTAACTGATTCATTCTGAACTTTGGATTTGGTTTATGCGTTTCTCTTCTATTTCAGTGTGGGATCATGTGTGTATTATATATTTATAGCTGTTTTTATCTGCTTTCTTTTCTGTAATACAGTAAAGTGACTTTGAGCATTATTATGGTTGTTATAGCTATTTGAGGTTCTTAAAGCAGAAGCTTGACGCTACCACAACATGAAACAACATACAGTAAAGGGAAGTGAAGTTTTCCAGTGGTTTCTCTTTCTCTTTCTGTCTCACTGATGGAGGGTTATTATAAATCACCTGACCGTTTCTGGAAACAACAGCTGAGTGTTCCCACTGCTCATCAAACATGGAGGATTATTATTATTATTACTGAGGGGGTGTGGTTTGAACACAAGCCTGTTCTCTCACGTATCCTGCTTTTTATATCTTTGCTGTTCTGGTTAGTGTTTCATGTCCGACCAAAACAACCCTCAGGCCACCAGGAGAAGTCCCAGTGCTCCTGAATGAATGACACCACTGACTTGTGTGGATTGATGGCAATATAATAAATCATAATTATCATTTTCATACACATTAAACCCCTCATGTCTCAGGTTTCTCCTGACATTCGTCCTTTATTATCTCCTCCTGTTTCACAGCCGCATTACTTGCCCTGAAAACAGCCAGATTATGACACCATGGGCCTCCAGGCACAGCCATGAAAGAGCCCTCCTACATTCTCTCTTCTGTGTGGGAGCAACTCCCCCGACTGAAGCAGACACAGGACGTAAACAAACAACGCAGCCATGTGTCTGCTGAAGATTTCTCTGTGATTATTCTGCATCTATTTATGGTCACGGTGGCTCAGACCCAGGACCCCCACGACAAATAAACCCTCAATAAGGACACTCAAACTGCTTTGTTCACCAGCTAGCATGTCAGAGAGACCAAACACGGGCCCAATAGAAACACGTTAAAGGCTTCTATTGATGCCCAGGTTTGTCTTACATATCTCCATATTTAGCTTTTTTCTTAATTAATTTTGTCTATGCCACGATAAGCATTTTAATCATGTAAACTGTTATATAGAAAAATGAGTTTCTTGGCAAACTTGAAATGTTTATTGTAAGTACTGAGCCACAACATCCTGTAACATGATCTTATAACAATTTGTACCTTGGTGCATCTGACACTCCTGGGTTACATAAGTCTTGGCTGCAGATGAATCACTTCTCTCCAGGCACATGTCACCAACAACATCTTGGGTGTGTTTTTGATGCCCTAGTTTATTCTTCATGTTTTGTCTTCCACCTAAAAACTCCTGCACCCATATCCCTCACACCTGCCCACCATACACACCACTGACTTTAGCCCATGCTCAACACCTTTAATGTGGTTCAATACAAATATCCTTTATTAATCATTACCATTGGTGCTTCTCCCTTTTGTTCAGGCCACTTGAGCCAGGTCACACAGCTATGCAGCTATACTGCCATCTACTGACTATCAGAATAAGCATTCTCCATATATGACAGTGAAGAGCAAATATTTCTATTTATATAGATTTATGCATATTTAACAATTCTGACCAGAGGTTTAACTACCCAATGTGTTTTAATGCCGAGCTCACTGTGAACCACATTCATACTCAGATTTCAGGAAGGACTGTGTCCAAAGATTGAATGGCTGCAGAAGGAACGCAAATGCATTCATGGCTACAGAGAAAGAACATGTAAACACTTGTAGTATGATTTAATTAATCCTATACAAGCAACAAACAGTATTACTATAAGCACATAAATAAATCTGTGAAGATTCTCAGTCATTCACATAAAGAGCTGTTTGCATTCCTCTTGTGTTTTCTTGTGCGTTGGCAGTTTAACTAAAAACAAATTAATAGTTGAAACATGTGAAAATCATCTTGATACCAGATGTTTACAACAGTTTATTCATTATATATCAGGCCAAGACTGGATTTCTCTTTGTGTTTTACTGACGGAGTAACATTTCTGTTCCTCTTGATAAATAATAGAACCAGCATGTCCTCTGTGCCTGAAGAAGTCGTTCATGGAGAACATATTCAGCAGCTCCAGGCAAGGGCTCTGGGTGCCATGGCCAAGTCCCAAAGGCCACAGCAGACATTATCTGTAGTGGGATGAGACACAGCAAGCCTCCACCCAGTGAATAGAACGTTTCTTTCATCAGAGCTGGAGAGAAACCAACATCAGCTGCCAGAACCAGAACCTTCTCTGGCCTGCAAGCAACAGCACAAGACTGCTGTGACCTTACAGCTGACCTGGGGAGGAAGTTTCCAGAATCGAATGCCACAATAACACAGAGGCCAGACATGAAGCACGTCCTGGAAACTTGCAAGCGGATCATTTTCTAGAACTCAAAGTTCCGAGGACTGTGCCAATGAGGTCAATGAGAGGACGGGGGAAAAGCATGGTAAGCTTGTGCCTTAGAATCAGGTGATGAGGGAGGTGTGAACCCAATGAGATGAGATGCAGTGGGTTTGTCTGTCAGAGAAAAATCCCCAAATCCATGTGTGCAAAGCTTGTCGGGTCATAACCAATAGAACTGTAGATGTAATCACTCTCAAAGGTCCTGAAAGTATGTGTTCGCTCTGTCATTATGGGAAACTGGGTGGAGATTGATAGGGAAAACTATCTGAAGATAGTTTATCACACTTTATAAAATCTATTTGGGGGAATATAAAGAAAATATTGATTAGAGCAAAGAAAGGAACCGAGATAAAATATTGTGTTTCTACACAAATTCAGAAAATACAATAAAATCATTGACAGACAATGCAAATCAATAAAGACACATCATCTTAATTTGATGCATGAAAGTATTTAAGAAATACGGTAAAATGCTGAGAATTCATGACAGCTATAATTTTCCATACTGCTGTCATGGTTTTATAAAAAATTTGGCAGCCTTGATATTCATTTTTTCAGTGTTTGTCATATAGATCCCAGAATTTCCGCCTGTACCCATGTTGATGACTCAACAGTTTAATTAGTGATAACAGAATAACACAGCTGTTATTGTGTTGTCAGCCCTTTCTCTCTCTGGGAGTTTGTTCAGTCAGTAACTTAAGACGTGATTTGCAGTTGGCAGTTATTGCTTCGCAGCAGCTTTTAAACATGAGTCAGTCGTGAGGCAATCAGGTCAGGAGCAAAACATGTTTATCCTAAAAGAACTTTGAGAACTTTGAGGACATCATTAAATTTGTCTATAAGTAAATACACATTCTTTTTGCATTATGATTTTCTTTAAACTATTCTGGTGATTTTAAAAAAAAATCTTATCATTAATACAAGAAATTACTAAAATAAACTATAGGTTATTTTCTGTGTTTGGACTTTTGGTACCACTCGGCTCGAGCTCGTTACCAAAGAGGTCAGCCAGCTCACCTTTGACATTTTATCTAAATGAGGGCAGCTCAAAATATCCTGCTGTACCCCATACACAAAAAAACACTCCAGGGTAAAATTCAGTGAAACCTTTATCTAAAATAACAAGCTGTCTTATAAATGTTGTGCAGTAGCAAATATAATTATATAATTTTCCTCTAAAATGTAATGCAGTCAGTCACAGCATTAAAGTACTTTGAGTAAATGCACATTATTATTGCTATTTTTCAACCCTGGGAATTAATGCTGTCACTTTGCACATACTGTAAATCCTCCATGAGACAGGATTTAAAGTCTTTAAAATATGAGACAGACTAATAAACATGCAGACGTGGCAGTCAAATAATTAAATGTCCATAATGTGTAAAGAACATGTAAATCAGACTAGTTTTAGTTGCTACAGTTTTTGAAATATGAATTCACAAAAAGCTTCCTAGTACTGATAAAGTGAACCGTTATCAGGGTTGTGTGATGACAGCAAACAAACGATTAACTTTAATGCAACACAGAGGTGGAATGGAAAAGACAGTCGTCCAGGTACATCAAGTATTTCACCTCTTTATTAGGACGGTCATCACAGAACGCCTCCTTTCAGTTTGTTCTTTAGTCTGTGAAATATTCAACTTGTTATTCAGATATTCAGATATGGGTCTAATCAGCCGACTGATGGAACAACATCAGTTTTTACTGCACCAATGTTTTTCACTGCCTTTCGCATTTTTGTTTTATTTTTTTGCTAAACGTGGATATCTGTCCTTGAGGTACAGGTATGTAATCACAAATACAAATGATTCATTCAACATGTAAGTAAATCATCAGTGTGCGATGGGGAATTATTATTCTGTGCACCTTTTTAATAGATCACATATTTCAGTCAACACATTATGTGATATATATTTGGATAAAGTTTCTAAAAGGTTCAATAAGATTGGTTTGTATAATTACTCCAACTGAAATGTGCTGCCCACTGTTTTTACATTTACTGATATTCATTATTTTTTTTAATGTGCTCTTGATGAATCTGAATCTCTAATCGTGACACATTTTCTGTTATTCTGTCTACAGGTACGTCTTTGTTACTGTTGGAGGATGTGTCCTGGCAGTCGCCACGATGGGGATCTACAGTTCTCTTCTGTTTGTGTCCACCTTTGTCTTTATTCTGCTCATTGGCTCGGTGGATCCCAGCAACATCCACATCTGGGCGTTTGGTATCCAGATGCTGTGGCAAACCTTCTGGCACCTGCTTATACAGTATGGTGAATGTTACCTGAATGAGCCTGTCAGCGTGAGGTATTAATCTACTGGTTAAAAAGTCTGTCCAGTGACGCCTTCATGTTTTGCCAACATATCCAGCATCCGTTATGAATAATAAAGTTATTGGTCTGGATAATTATTAATGCATTTAAAAGTTAAACGAAAATAATGCACAATTTACCACTCTTCTGGTAATATTTGATTTAAACTACAATACCCAGGTGTTTTCATCCCACAGACTATGAAATAAAGGAGCCACTGGAAATGTATTTTCTATAATTCTGTTATTAGACAGATTGTTTTCCACCGACTGGAATAGTTTTTTATTTCTGGATTTCACAAAACAAAGTGTCCTTGACCTTGAACCACAGTACAGTGTTCTCATTAGAGGTTCAAGCTTTCCATGAGCTCTTCCAGGACATCTCATCCATTATGACTAATGTGATCAAGAGCTCCAGAACAGCTGCTAAATGGACTGAACTGTTAGTGTGGAGGAGGAACTTTCAACACCGGTTTCTGGACACTTCTAATCTGGATATCTGGATACAAACATGAAGGCCACAGGTTTTTAAAATGTATTTCTCTTTCTTATAAAGAATAAATGACCTCTTGTACTTTCAGGTTGTTTTTGGCGGTGTCCTCTTTGATGCTGCTCACTCAGAGAATCACCTCGGTGTCCATGGATGTTCACGAGAAACAACTTGTGTTCACATTTAAAGCATCGTCCCTAAAGACGAGTTGTGTCCTGCTTCTCCCTCTCGTCAGCTACTTCCTCAGTGTCACCACGCTGCTCGGTGGCCCTCTGGGCTCCTACAGACAGTTTGTGTCTCACATGGAGGAAATCAGCCTCGGCCCTTCACCCAGTCCACTGGGCGTGGTGTTCCTGAAGTTGATGCAGGTGTTATTGTTGGAGTTGGTAAGGTTTTGTCTTGTCCACTTTCTAAAACAAAACATCTATGATCCCAGTAGCTCTGCTTCTGTTTGTGGCTTCCTTTGGGTTTGGGCTCTTGCGTTGGTTTTGAGGATCAGGTATTACTCTCACTGGAAGATCAGTGAATGCCTCAATAATGCAGCTGGGTTTGGAAATTGCAAAAATTCATCAGGAGACTCCCAAGAGTGGAGCGACTTATCTGATGGAGATTTCTGGACCGCTGAGGCGTCGAGCCGCATGTCACAGTTTGCACGTCGATGGAACGTCACCACGGCTTTGTGGCTGCGTAGAATGGTTTATACGAGAAGCAAACATTTCCCCTTGTTCATGACTTTCGGTTTTTCAATGTGGTGGCATGGTTTGCACTTAGGTCACTTTGTGGGGTTTATGACTTGGGCATCAGCAGTGAAAGCAGACTACCATATACACAGGTACTTACACCCAAAGCTTTCTTCAACATGGAGGAGGCTGCTGTATACGTGTGTAGGCTGGGTAAACACGCAAATGATCACTACGTGTGTCGTTGTTGCTGTAGAATTAAGAAATATGTCCGGCTTGAGACTTCTGTCTGTTACATTCGTAGGTCTGTTTCCTCTTTGTAATATGATTCTACTTATTATCTTATTCAAACTCAATACAGTGAGGTAGACCACTAAAGCAGCCATGTTAACAAACCACCACACCTACTTGTCCTATAACAGCTCCACTACAATATCAAAAGCTTGTTTGTTCATTAAAATCCATGAATGGCCTTTATGTTACCCTCAATATGGGGATTCTGTAGTTGTGTAACTTCATTCTATTTTTGCTCTTTGTTGTCGTTTGTGCTGTTAAACAGTTTTGTTGCATTGGGAGGAGGGAGCAGAGGTTGTGGAAGTGAGAGTAATTATACAATCTAAATACTTATTATTGTGTTTGTTCTTGTCGGTTTTCTATATTTAATTGTTTATGTTCCCTGCGGGTCTGTGGGTGGGAAATGAGGGGTGGAGTGGGGAAACTGGTTAGTGAGCAGATAAGGGAAAATACAGGGTGAACAGGAAGCATCAATGACTCTGAAGCATAACACTAATGACTGAACTGTGGGGGTTGGAGGAGCAATATCAAGAGGAAGAAAATATTTCCTGCTCCATATGTTCTGGTGAAGAATGTAATATATGAAAGGAATTCAGGGATGAAAGTTATAATTTTTAATTTTTTCTATTTCTGCATAAATTAAAGGGTGAGATGATTCTTATCACACCCTCATAAAAACACTGTTCTCTGCTAAACAAGCTGAGACAAGTTGGGTTGTTTAAACCAGAGACTTTCAGAACATTGGTTAGGTGAATCATACTGCCCCCTGGTGTTCAAAAATGTATGCAGGTTCAAGGTGTTTATAAGATCAGTAACAAGACGTTACATTTTTTGTACCATAACAACCAATCATCCAGAGTTATCTGAGTAATAAAGCTCAACAACTATAAATTAATAAAAAACATTTTCTGACGATGAAGTTCAACGTGTGAGTTAATCTTATAAAACATGATCAGCCATGGAGCTTTGTAAAAATGCAAAAAAGACACTGCACATATGTAGTACTGCATGTGAAGTACTCTAAATTTAATAAAAATATACTGTGCATTGATTGTCATTTAGCTGAGCGTATCTTCGTTTTGCAGCAAAGTCTCTCTTCTGTCTTTCCATAGATTTCCGGCAACAATCCCTAAAAATAACAACAGGCCCAAATTTCTGTTTGAAACAAATTTCTTCCAGCAGTCCTCCGGTTTGTTGATGTCCAGTGCGTAAATCTAAAGGAGAGAATAGTAAATATGGGATGTTTGGTTAGGATCATAAAAAGAAACATACATTTCACATTTACATTTCCACAAAACCAATACTATATTGTGATGTCAACAACAAGTCCCTTACCTGGTGTGATATGTGGACGGCCACTGCAGACAGTACAGCATAGTAAGGGAGAGTCTGTTCAGCATTGACACCGGTTAAAACCAGTCCTGACATCATGGCCACTGTAAAGCCACTCAGCCAGGGTTTGGTTTGCTCCTGGAACCTCAGCGCAGTAGATTTGACTCCTACCTTGATGTCGTCCTCCTTATCCTAGTTATCGAATACAGAGCAGAAGGAGCTCAGTCTCAATCAATATGATTTTACTTTGAGAGTGACAGACAGTGTCAGAGCAGCAAAAAACAGTCACTCACAGATAAATTGTCCCACAAAAATCATCGAAAACAACATTTCAACAAGGTCGGTTAAAATCTGTGAATCTATGGTTTAAAAGTGAATGAAGTATTTCTACACTAAATGTGAGCTCCTAACAGACTTAATGTCATATAATTTTATATTAAGCACAAATAAGAACTACAGAGATCCATCAAGCCCTGTGCTTCACCTGATGAGCATATATGGTGTCGTATATCAGTGTCCACATCACTCCTGAGAAATACAGCGGGAGGCACACGGACCAATCACAGGAGCCTTGAACAGCAGACCAGCCGAGCAGCGCCCCCCAGTTAAATGTGAGGCCTAAACAGGATAAAAGGAGGAAGCGTTGACTTTAGAAGCAAGAAACGATGATAATCTTGTACCGTATAGAACAGTACAACAATTACCTAACACAAACTGTGGCCAGTACGTGATCCTCTTCATCAGTGGGTAGGAGACAACGAGAGATAATGAAGCAGCACCCAGAGCGATGCTGTAAGGAGCATTATGAAAACTTTGAGTCAAACACTGTCAAACCTTTAATTAACAACGAAGCAACAACTAAATTTTTGAATTTGAACATACAATCTTTTCAAATTGCGAATAAACTAAAATCAAAGCTCAACAGATTATTTCCCATAACACGCTGACTGTTGCTGGTACCTGTAGTAGTTGAGACATAACAGAACCCCAAGTGCAAGAGAGAGCTGTCCTCCCAAGAAGACCAGTGCCTGCATTCGAGAAACTGCCCCCGAGGCAATGGGTCGAGTGGCTGTCCTGGACACCTGCACAAAAACATATCATTAATAATAACTACTTCATTTATTGAGCACCTTTCATAACACAATCTCACAGATAAAACAAGAACATTGAATAAACCAACAACATGATAATAATAAAATAATTATATTATTAACTAATACCAACAGTACTGTATACCTTTGTGTCAAAGTCTTTATCCCACATGTCGTTGATGGTGCAGCCTGCTCCTCTCATTAGCAGAGCACCTGTACCAAACAGAGTGAGCATGCCCAGATCTGGGAGGCATCCAGGGTCTGCAGCCAGAGCAATGCTCCATGTACACGGGAGGTAGAGCAGCCAAGTTCCTACAATACAAACAGACAACACACTTAAACTGCAGACAGAAAAGGGGTAACATAGTAAAGAATTTAAACTGATCATATAATTATTTGTTTGTAAAGGTCGTCCCGAAAATGCCAATTACAGAATCTTTCAAAACACAAAAGTTTGAAATAAAAGAATACAAATACTAAAACAGTATCATAATTGATTTTAAACTGGTTTGTGCCAATTCAGCACCATCAAGGAAGTACCTGATCGGTCCCAGAATAATTCTGAAGCAAGACAATGATCCCAAACCTACAGCCAGAGTCATAAAGAACAGTTTCACAGACAAGAGGAACAAAGTGCCCTGCAGCATCTGAATGTACAAACCAATGGGTTTGTCGAGCCTCATCAGTCGCAGGTATGGCTGGACAGGAGCTGGAGCTGAATTCACAATGGCAGCAGGAGACAGACTGAAGGATCTTCTCCCATGATGCCGAGCTTCATGCAGTCTGACCAATGGACGGAACGCGCCCCGGCTGTGAAACACTCTTCCTAACACGCTGGAGTTTGAGTGGAGTCCATGTTTAGTCCTGGTTGTTGCTTCCTCGTGAAGGAAGCGGTCTGACAGAGGGTACAGACAGGGGGAACAGGCTCCATGGTGAATCCTCCTCAGGAAGTTTACAGTCAGCTTGGCTTGCAGCATGGTGACTCCCTGAGGTCACACTGACATTGTCCTGCAGACCTGAAAACACAAACAGGTCCACACACAATGGTGTCACGGTGGCTTTGTTTTATGATTTGCTTGAACGTGAATTCTTTTGTGTTGCACTGAATCAGCCGCACAAAGACTGAGGTGTTCGTGTGTCAGAGGAGAGCTGTGTGTGTGTGTGTGTGTGTGTGTGTGTGTGTGTGTCTCTTAATCAAGTGTGATCCTTGTCGGTGTAGTTATTGGGAGAAGTTAAAAAACGCACATGCTCATATTATAACCATGTAATGCACTGAAGGTGAAATGAATTCTTCAACGCGTCTGAGACAGAAATAAAGGCTGATTTATAAACTTACACTGACGGTTACAGAAGACACAATATTTAATGGTTCCTCTTCTATTTTTGTTTAATGGTTTTTAACCAAAATAAGGAGTTTTTCGAGGACAGAGGCGACGAATCAGCTGCCGGTCTACTGCTGCGATTTCCTGTTATCGTACCTCCACTGTTGTTCCGTAGGAAACAACGTTCGTACCCGGAACCAATGACAACCGAGAGGGCGTTTGAAATCTGAAGAAAACACAATAAACTGATGAATATTGATTATTGATAATAATAAAAACCATCATTATGATAATCCTGAAAAAATATTATCATGAAAAGAACTAAAGAATAGAAGAGAAACAAAATCGATATTTTATAAAACAGAAATCGTCTTGATTCTATACTATTGCATTTATCATACTTGCAATTATTTCTATTTACAAAATGAATTTCTATTAGACTGATGATGAATGAATGAGATTTTTAAAAGATTTGATAAATGAAATAAACTCAAAGGTGGGAACTTCCGGTTAAAGCTTCCTCCGATTTCACAATAAATATACTAGTGTGTGTTTTTTTTTATTATATCCAATGTTGTTAAAACTATTAGATGCTCAATTAATCAAATGATTATCAACACGATATCTGGATAATATTATATTATCGCCTTTTGCTTTCACTACAATAAGATATAGGGTTTTATTTTAAAAAAAATAGTTTTGTTGTTTTTATGAAATCCTTTTTAATTTTCAATTTTTCATTCGTTTGAATTCATTGTTACTATGAACTGAAACTTTTTCAACAGTTTAAAAATCATTTTTTTTAAATTGTATTTTATTTCACCATGCACAGCACTGTGCAAGCGCCTACTCTTGGTTTTATTTTGAAGAGCGGCAGGCTGTGGGCGGAAGTGCAGTTGCAGGACATTGAGGATTCGTTGCAGCCCCGGAAGTGGGTAGAGCGCTAGTCGCGGGAAAAATGGCGGAAACGTGTGGTGTCTTCATGTCTCCAACACCAGCGGCTGTAGAAATCACATCTTAAACCTCAGCCTGTGTGTGTCCGTCTGCGTGAGGGGGCACGGTGTGTAGCGTCGGTGGGTTGTGAGCCCGTTGGCTCTTTTATTTCCACTGGCTCGCGTCGTTTCGAGTCTCTTCTCCTGTTGGTTTCCTGTTGAACTTTCACTGGTTGCAAGTTCCCGACGTCCTCAGTTGTCTCCATCATAGTTGTTTCTGTTGTTCATCGGAATTTCCTGAAATACTTGACAAGAAAAGTGCATTCGTTCACGTCAGCGTCTGATTTCCGTAAGTATCTGCAGAAAGTGTGTTTCTGAACATTCAGTAGTAACTTATGATAAAACACACGTATTATTTTAAACCGCAGGAGCGACACAGCTGTTTATAGAGAATGGTCTGGGTGTAGGAGGGATGCAAGATGCCAGAAGGTATTTATCACTGTCAGTTTTGTTATTGAGTGTTGATTCAGTGCAGTGATTTAAATCAAGTGAAGTGTTCAGTGTTGTCTTTTGCTTCCTCCTCAGATTCCATGATCTTTTCCGTCTCTGGCCACATGATGCACAGGAAACCTGCCCCCGAAGAATCCTCCGTCAAGTCTTTCTGCTGCAGCCACTGCTCGCTCGTCTTCACCTCCAAGATCTCCCTTTTTCAGCATGTGACCTTCGAGCATGGCTCGGAGTCCAACGAAGAAGAAGCTGACGACGAAAGCAACAATGCGGGAAGTATTTATCTATGTCACCACTGTGCTTTTATAGCTCTTAGCCGGGATGAGTTAAACGAACATGAGAAACAGTGTGCTAAGAAGCCAGAGAATCAAGATCAGACCAGGAGTCCTATTGTTTCTGAAAACCATGAGAGTGAAATAGGTGCAGTCATGTCTACCTCAAAATCTTCATGCATCCTTAACTCGTCAAAAGATCTGAAAACTTACAAGGGGCCGCTGCAAATGCAAACCATCACTAAATTCTTAACAGCAGCATCTCGATCACCCTCAGTGAAGTCCGCCGAGCGCCCAGTGTCTCCGAGCAGCACCAAAGGAACGCTGCTCCTGCAACAATCTCCCTCAGACCCCAAACCAAGCAGCAGTGGTGTGTTTAAAGTCACCGCAAAGTCCATGATTGATTTGAATGCAACCCCAACTACCCACTTTCTGCTAGATAACAACATTTTACCCTCAGAGATGAAGCCCAAGGAACAATGCAAAGACTCAGATTATGAAATCTACAAGAAGAGGAGCAGCCGGGAGTGCCCGGAGAGTTGCCCTGCTAAAAAAACAAAGTCGGACAAAGGGGAGTTGAAGCTCCCGGAGAAAGAGAACGCAAGTAAACAACCGTCCAGCAGCACTGACTTTTCATTTGAATTTAGCGACGATGAAGACGAAAAGAAGGTTAATCTCCTAAATAGAGATGCGGAAAACCCAACCATTTATTTTTGCAAGCACTGTGACTACAGTGATGCTGTCATGAGACGCATGTCCTTCCACTACCAGAGCGACCACCCTTATATAAGATGTAGCGCCGTGTACATTCAGGATCCCAGTGATCAGAGCGTCACCTTTCGCTGCCTGGAGTGTCCCATTGAGTTTTTATCTGAAACCGAACTGAAGAGACACTACACAGAAAATCATCCAGACGCCCCAAAGGTATTCATGATGCATTCCTGTGAGCTGGTTTACAAATGTTTTGTGTGTAGGTTCATTAGCAATGAATTGAAAGCCCTGACAGAACATTACAAAGAAAAGCACCCAAAACATAAAGCGGATAATTCCTTGTTCTACTGCAAATATACAGTGACTGGATGCCAAGATGGATCGTCACAGTTGAAAACATGTGGGAAAACGCACAGCCCAGAAACATCAGAGGGGATTTCTCCCAAAAACGCAGATGCACAACCTGAGGAATTAAAAAATGCCCCCTCGCCCCTACACTCTACCTCCAGAGGAGAGCGTGTGGTTTTGTATCATTGCAGCAGCTGTAATTTTAGTCATAAGTCAGCTGTCGGTATGCACGTCCACTATCAGAAAAAACATCCAGATGAAACAATAACGATCAACAAAATCAAACAGTCGGCTTCTGTCGTATCACAAACCACCTCCCAGACGACACTTGAGAATTCATCGAATGTAACGGAGAACTCTACACCTCAGAAGGACGTCTCCAGTTCTTCCAAAATGGAAAAAAGCAAAGCTGAGGAGTCTCAGCAGAAGTTTTCACCGTCTTTAATGACTCTGAAGAACACAACAGACACGCCTAAGACTCGTTCAGAATCTAGCAAAACAGAGTTAGTTAAATCTGCAGCGGGCAAAAAGAGAACAAAGACACCTAGCAAATGGAACAGGCAGCTGTCTGTGGGAATCGACGGTTCATCCTCCAGCTCACTCGATAAAGTGTTTTACTGCCAGTTCTGCACCTTTTCAAATGCCAACATCAGAAGCGTCGTTGCTCATCATAACATGAAACACGCTGATCTCGGACTAACGGGTACTGAGGAGGTCTGGTGGTATAATAACAAGTTGCAAAAAAAGAAACTGCAACGTGAAGCCGAGACCTCAACAAGTGCTGCGTCTTCTAATTCTAAATCTAGTGAAAGAGTTGAGGTGTGGAAGGAAAGAAAACGGCAGAATGAAGAAGCTAACACAGCGGCTGCCTCCAAGACGGAAGTTAATCCCTATGAATGTGTAGAAAACTTGTTTTACTGCCAAAAGTGCAACTTTGGAAATGTAAGTTTAAAAGGAATTATGAACCATCAAGCCAAAGTTCACCTGGACCTGAATGCAAACCATGAATCTATTCTTAGACACACAGAGCTGATTTGTGCAAAAATTAAAACGTCTCACTCAAAGGACTCATCCACATCTTTTCGTCTACCTCTCCCGCTCATGAATGAAGGCGACAGAGAATGTTTTTTCTGCCACTTTTGCAACTACAGACATAATTGCGTGAGCCAAGTATTGAGGCATTACATCAGCAGACATCCTGGGTTTGTGGTTAAGAACCAAGAAATCCAACAATATACTTACACGCTTCTCAAGCAGATGGAGGAATCGCCTCCGGAAACGTCTGCAAGCCAAGAAGATAGCGCATCCCCTCTGGAAAAAGTGGACAGGAAGAAAAAAGTAAAAACACTGGCTCAATGCTCGTCTGCGTCAGCGTCGTCCTCAGTGGCGGCCACGAAGACACAGAGGACCCTCAAGTGTTATAGATGCACATACAGCACTCAGTACTTGAATCTGTTGAGGAGGCACATGTTGAAGATTCACAGGACAAATCGCAGGACAACTGATATTTTGAGAGTGTGTTATAGACAAGGGATGTTGGAGTCAGGGTATCACTGTGACAGGTGTGTCTTCTCCCACAATAATGCAGCAGCATTGTTTCAGCACAGCCAGGAACAACATCCAAAACGTAAAGTCAGCCTCGAGTACATTTCCACCAGGTTATATGTCGGTCCCGATTCATTAGTTCCTAAAAAGAGAAAAAAGCCTAAAACGACACACACGGGTGACGTGAGTGATGGTGATGGAAGATTGGGACAAAATGACACTAAGACGTATTCGTGCAGAGCGTGTTCGTTTGAAGGAAGCTCAGTGTCAAGTGTCACACGCCACTGCCGGGCTGTGCATCCCTGGTCTGTGAAAGAAGACGGCTCCGTCCTGAACGTCATCACAACCAAGAAGTCAAGTCCACACATTGTGGAAGACCAGACTGAAATGCCAGAACCATTCGACACCTACCAAGTTCCTCTCGGACACAGTGACTCACCTGGTTCATCTCATGAAGCTGCAGATACTTCAAAAAGGCTCAAGTGCAGATATTGCCCTGCAGTGTTTCGCACCTGGCACGGCCTCAGCACTCACACTGGAATGAAACACCCACATGCTGAAATTGATGCTCCAGCAAGCATGCATTTATTCAGTTGTCCGCATTGTACTTACATCAACACCAGCTATCATGGAGTTTTAACTCACTGCCAGATGAGGCATCCTGACTCTGAGTCCAGGGCAGACAGTCATTACATGGATGAAATGCATCTACGCAGGTGGAACTTCTGTTTAACAAAAAAAGGCTCAGGGGACACCTCAAGATTCAGCGGCTACTTGTGTGAAACCTGCCCTCAAATCTGTGCAACTCTGGAGAAGCTGAACAAGCACTGTGAGGGAGAGCATAACAAGACCGATCCGAACACTGTGCCAAACAGCGTGCTCAAACCGTCAGCTGTAAGAAAACTACACCAACCCATCACCTACAGCTCTCTGGGATCAGTGTCAAAGGCTTCCTTCTTGCATAAGAAAAAATATCCAGTGCTGAAGTGCCAGCTGTGCAGTTATACTTGCAGCACAAAAATTGGGCTCAGTCGCCACTTGCGTGTTAACCACAGGAATTCATCTTATTCACAGTTTAAGGATTGTGTATACAAGTGTGCCTTGTGTCCGAAGTCGTACTTCACCAAAAAGCATCTTGCACGCCATTATACTAATAAACACGGAAAGCGCTCCCTCTTGAAATACTTTGCACCCGTGTACCAGAACGTCAAAGCGCCAACGTCCTCTGACTGCCCTTCAACAGAGCAACCAGAAAACACTTCTGAGTCTAGTGCAACAGGAGAAGACGGCAAGATATTAGTGTATAGGTGTCCGAGCTGTCCCTATGTTAACGCTAGCTACCATGGAACGCTCACTCACTGCCAAATGATGCATCCTGCTCTCGTAGTCAGAGCAGACGAACTTCAAACAGACAGAATATTCGAAACCGACATGGTCCAGTGTTGGACGGGTAAAGGTTCAAAGCATAAAGGCTTCATGTGTAAAAATTGTCCACAAATTCATGCATCGTTGATGCAGCTGAAAATCCATTGTGAGAGGAGCCACAAACGGGCCAAACCAGCAGCTTCTGAACTTTCAGCTGAAACTGAAAAACTGCCTGACGAAGGCTCCAGGAGCTCAACATCAGAGACTTCCTCTTTACAAATGAAATCTTCCCCAGTGAACACCACAAAAAGGAACCTGAATCTACAGCTAGGCTCTCCTGAAAAACAGCAAGTGTCCAAACAAAACAATGAAATGCTGTACAAGTGTGACATGTGTTCCTATGTAGGAATATGTAGAAAGTACCTGCACTGTCACTACAAAAACATGCACAAGTTGGATGCATTCCGCATATACAAGCAGTTGGAGAGGTATAACAAACGCAAATACTACACGCCTAAAGCTCCATCCGAAGAAAGGGTTAGATGTAAGAAGTGTACAAACTTAGCATTTGACTCATATCAGCTGCTCATTGTCCATTACACCAACTTTCATAGCTCCAACTTTAAAATGGACTTTACAGTGTTAAAGCGAAGAACAATAAAGACCCCAGGAGTTTACAAGTGTGACCACTGCAGCAAACACATAATTGGAATCAGGAAGCTGTGTTACCACCTGGAACGCCATGAGGCAACTATGAAGACAACGGCAATGGATGCAAAGTCAACGGCATCAGTTGTCAGGACGACAACACCAGAGGCCCCATCCAATGAAGTGAGTTAACTCTGCCCATATAAGCATTTTCATTCATCATCTTCTTTTCACCTACACTTGTAAGTTTTTAATTTGCTGTGTTTAATTTTCAGATTCAACGAGATGAGTCGCCCATGTCAGAATCTGTGCAGGACCTGACTCATTGGAATGCGACGCCAGAGAAGACGTTAACTCTGCAAACAGGTTCTCTGCCGTCGCCTTCAAGACTCACTGATACAGAGCTGCCAGAGGAATCGATCGAAGACAAACGCACTTGCCGACAGTGTCGACGGACGTTCATGTCCCTGAAAGGTTTGCGCTCACATGAGCGCAGCCACGCGGCACTGGCAGCCATCAAGAAACTGGACAAACGGTCTACCTCACTATTGAAGAACAAGTAAGAATTTAAAAAAAATTGGTCCATCATTTTATCTGCTTATGTAAAAAATGACTGCTCTTTTATTACACACTACTTACATGTGTTAGAGCCCCCCCGATGGTTTCACTGTACTTTACACACATTTCAATTGCTTTACAAAGCTAATTAAATTCTGTAATTAGTAATTAATACAATCAAATATAATCAATATGTTAACAGTTTCATTAATTTAGAATTGTTAGTATTCTCTTCAACAGTACAATATTAACATTTTACAAATGTGACTTCCTTTATGTCCAGAACTCTTCATGAGCTATTTGTGACCATCTGAATTATTTCTGTTCAATCTCTACAGCATTGATGAATACGTCGTCTACAAATCTGGGACCCTCAGGCCGTACCTCTGTAGTTTCTGTGCCTATCGGACGACCGTCTTTGGCCTGTGGAGGAGTCATTTCATCAGAAAACATCAAGGTGAGCATCCACGACGATGATTGATGTATCATTGATTCATCAGATGTCTTCACTTTCACCTGAGGAATTTATTAAAGTATTAATGAATTAGTCGTTGAAAGCATCAAAGGAAATGTTTGACATGTATGATATTGTTATTTCATATATATTTTATATATCATATAGATATTTTCATTTTACCCACTGTAAAGGTTTTACTATGTTGTGAAAATAAAGTGAAAAAGTTGTGGAGGTCATCTGGTTTATGTTTGAACACTCATTCTTGGCGTTAGCATTAAGTGTAGTTAGTTAATATAAATCCATCAGTCCTTTGCACAGATTACACAGCAGTTGCTTTGAGATATTTCATCATGTGTTTTTGTCTTTCGTTCCCTGTCTATTGCTGCTGGATGTTTAGATGTGCTTATGGACGATGTGGAGACTTATAACGAAGATGAGGAGAACTCACAGAGAAACAACCAGGAGCCTCCTCAACTATCAGAGGAAAACAACAATTCGCCTGAACCTGAAGAAGAAGTTGAAATGATTGAAAGCAAGTCATCCCACTTATATAAACCACATATCTGTCGAAATGGATATAAAATGCACACGTGTGGCTTTGGCTGCCGCACTGACAGTCTGTGGTTTGTTATTGTGTGACAGGATCACTGTACCTGGAGCCTCCAGATGTGCAGCGGCAGCTGAACCACTACAGCTTGATGGCGCAGACTCGTGGTGTCTCCAAAGCCAAGGTGCAAGAAACCAATTTACCCGAGAGCTGTTTGCTCCACTGTGAGTTCTGCAGTTTCAGCACTGGACACCTTTCCAGTGTGCGACGACATTACTTAAACCGCCACGGGAAGAAGATCCTCAGGTGTAAGGACTGTGAATTTTTCACTGGATTAAGGTGAGTTACCTCCACAATGAGGAATTCTCTTTATGTAAAAATCCTTTTCATTGATGTGTTTGAAATCCAAGATATTCTTCAAAAACGGAGCAAAATTAGTTAATGTCCCAGAGACACTGCAGACACTAAAATTGTTTTCCTCGTATTTTGTTTTTCAGGGAGTGCCATAAAGTCCAGACGCTTAAATATAATAAAGTAAATATAGTGAACTATAACGTGAACAGGTAGTTTAGGCATATTGTAGATGTAAATATTGTAAATTGTAAAATTTCAAAACATTGAATCTGAATCTTGTGAGTTAAAAGGGAAACATAATTACGATGATTATGTCAACATAAACTTTGAGTTAACAGATTCTCCGTCACTCTCTGACTCACATCCGCATCACCTGGTTGTTCTATCGTTTATCAGGAAAACCCTGGAGATGCACATGGAGGCCGGTCACTCTACATTTCAGTCAGAACCGACTCATCTGAGGGACCTCCGCTGCCCGCTCTGCCTCTACCAGACCAAGAACAAGAATAACATGATTGATCACATCGTCCTACATCGTGGTACGATAGACACTTGACAGGATCCATCATTCCCAGTCCACTGAAATCCTTATTTGACACGTTTGAGTGAATGTTTTCGTTTCTCTTGTTTTCAGAGGAGCGCGTTGTGCCGATAGAGGTGCGTCGCCCGAGGCTGTCCCGTTACCTCCAGGGCATCGTCTTCCGCTGTCACAAATGCACTTTCTCCAGCGGTAGTGCTGCAAACCTGAGTTCGCACATGATGAAGCACGATGACGCCAAACCCTACAAGTGTCGGCTGTGCTACTTCGACTGCACTCTGCTGAGCGACTTAGAGGCACACCTGAGCGATAAGCATCAGGTGAGGATTTGTCTCTAAACCTGCAGGAATTCCTTTGTGTCTGAAATGATACATTATCCACTTTGAATGTACAGGAATTTTAGAAATGAGAGGAAGACGTAGGCAGCTTCTTTGTTTCAGGAGCCATTCCACTGGACACGGGGCAAATCTGTTACATAAAGCCAAATAAATGTGACCTGTTAAAATCTGGCAATAGTGATTTTCAACACTAACAGGTGCAGCAGAATCGACACTACTTAAATTCAATCATAAATGAAAACAATCTAAAAGTCTAAAAATAATTCCAGGCCTTACAAAGTCTTCATATGTTAACATAATACGTACTAGGTCTTAAATATGTTCCGGTCAGTCTTATTGTAACGCTCACATAATGCTACTTCAGTTGCACTTTTTGTTTTTCAAGAGGGATGTGGTAGAAATGGGTAAATTAGTTCTTTTGTAAGTTTGATTTAAGTTGTTTGCTTTTCTTTTATACAGGTTGAGAGGAACCATGAGCTTGTGGGTCAGGTCAGCCTTGATCAGCTAGAGGCACAGGGTGGTAGAATACAAGAGGAAGAGGAAGAAGAAGAGGAGGAACTGTTATCAAACTCTGAGCAGCACAACAGCAAGAGGGGGGATGTTAACATGGAGTTTGTCACAGGCTGTAATGAAGTTCCACATGAAACAGGAGTTGCAGATCCGGCAGAAAATAACATTGCTACTGGTTCATCTCATGAAGCTGCAGATACTTCAAAAAGGCTCAAGTGCAGATATTGCCCTGCAGGGTTTCGCACCTGGCACGGCCTCAGCACTCACACTGGAATGAAACACCCACATGCTGAAACGCTACAGTTGAAGGAAGCATGTCTGAAGCATGAGCAGGAGACTGCAAAGGGACAGATGATCGAAGAGACGGTAGAAATAAATGTCGGCAAAGGAAACACCGCAGATGACCAGTCTGAGGAATGCGGCGGTTCAGAGAAAGAGAGGAACGTGAACCAAGCCCAACTCAAAGTGAGAGGCAGTGAGGAAAACAGTGCAATGTCCACACGCCAAAGAGAGAAGGCAGCCGAGAGGAGCTCAGCAACGTATGATGAGAGGATTGGTAAAAAAGAGTCCAAGATAAGTTTTAAGACGCTGCAGCGCAGAACGTCAAACACTGAGTTGAGAGCTGAAGAAAAAATACTGCGTCACATCCTTGTGTTGGATGAGGATAGCAGCGTCCGCAAGATGCACAACAAGGCCGAGCAGGAGAGAACAGTCAAGAAAGAGCAGAACATGGAGACCAAGGTTCTAGATAATGTTCTAAGTGAGCTGCTGGACGAAGATCGTAAAATCTCTTTGGCCCAAAAACTGACAATTAAATATGATTCAGAGGCAAAGAAAAGTCCCGTGCAGGGGAATAACATCAGGAGCCAGGAGGATTTAAAATGTGAAAGTCCTTCACTAACGCCTCTTCCCACATGTGTCCAACTGAACACAAACCATGAGGAGAGCTCAGGATTCTCATCAACACACTGCAAAGAGGAACGAGTGAGCCATAGGGAATATGGTGAGGAGCTATCGGACCTATATGGAGAAATGCCTGTGCTTGAGAATGAATATCTGAAGGAGGCATCGTACCCGCAAGTCTGCTGCAAGGAGGAAGACGAGGATGAGCTCGGGGAGCAGCAGGACAAAGAAGATGAAGTGATGACTGAAGACGGCGAGAGCGGATGCAAAGATCGGGATCATGAGGAGGGAGACAACATTGAGGAGTCCAACATTCCACGTGTGGACAAAAGTAAGAATTTAAATTAACCACAATATATCTATTGAAGTCCAACACAAACTCATTGCTTTCTATGCAAAGGTGTCTTCAGACACTTCAGAAATCAGTCCCCTAAACCTGACAGATCCAAAAACGATTCCCTGGGAATTTAGTGGAAAATGTCAAACAATGTAAAAGAAAGTGTCACATGCTTCCAACAAGTTGCGTGGATATCTGTCCTGTAGTTTTTGCTTTATCCTGCTGACCAATAAACAACAAGAACTGGGGAGAGAACATAGCCACCTTACTGTTACACACAGATTGCATTCATAATTTTGCCTCAGTTTTGATGTTTACTAATGGCTTTGATTATTTAGACTTGATACCAGTCACCAGATAGTATGAACAATGTTTGAGAAAACCAGGACAATATGTGAGTGAATATTGTTCAAATGAAAGCCCCTTTGTAGTTGGTAATAATTTAGTTATTTAAACTTTCCAGTAAAAATGCCAAACATTTGCAATTACAATTTTAGTTTTAACCTCTACTCTTCTCACCCTGTCCTATTAAACTTCATCTGTTACACCTCAAAGACTCTTAACCCCCTGAAAATCGTACAGTTTTCTGACCCCTTGATTAATTGTTTCATTAATTCATTACTCATTATTTAATAAACTGTGTTGTAGCAGTTGTTGACTTGAAATGTGACATGACACCAGGCTAAACTCATCTCTCTTGTTTTTCAGGTGAGTTCACAGCTGCAGATGGAGCTTCTGAAGTCCTGTGTTCCTCAGTTGCACAAAATAAACTTTACACTTGTGAACTTTGTGGACGAAACCTCGTGAACGGCTCTGATTTGAAGCGTCACATTATGAGACATGGCATATAACCAAGACTCTGTGTCCACTGTAGATTTTTGATTGGGGAGACTAAACTTTGTTACTGTTAACTGTCTCCTACCTTATTTACTTTACTATGTATTTGTAAACAACTTGTTAACAGTTCATTTTTCATGTTTTGTAGATTTTTAAACTTTTTTAATGACATGGATTGATTTGTTGTTTTGTCCTATTCAATAAATACATCTTCAGAAATAAAGTGGTGACGAATAATGTGATACAGTTAAATCCTTCTCATTACAGGATACACATAAATAACCACCATGCACAGATCCTCAGTTAAATGATAGGAGATATTAAATCATATGTTACAACTGTAAAACCTCCAAAATCTTTATACTGTGAACTGTTGTTACAAATAAACTTTGTCATCCTTGTCTGTGATGGATTAAAAAAATTCTTGAATCACAACACACAAATCTATCCATTATCAACACCAGTTCATTCAATTGTCCTGTTTGGAAAGGGGTTGGAGCCATCCCAGCTGATTGGACGAGAGGTGAGGTACACAGTGGACAGGTCACCAGTCCATCACAGGACGGACATGAGACAATCAACAATCCATCATGACCATTAACGTCTTGGTAGACATCAGTCGATATCGATAACCATCACCACAACTGCTCCTGAGTAAAGGTGGTTTTAAACATTTCTTCATGAGCAGAGGATAAACAGCAAAACATTTTTCAGATCTGAGGTGGATCCGTAATGTGTCCCACCTCCTCGCTGTGCTTCATCTGTGTTTGTCTGTGAGCAGGATTACCTCGGGACATGGGCCAGAGAAGATTTCATTATATCTTGGTCCTGATCCAGGATTAATTGGCAGATCTGGGGAATTTTTTTCTTTCACTTTGTTTAGCATTGTGAAATATGGCATTTTTTACAAACATTGATTTCATTAGAGAATCATTCATCGATCTTGATGAAAACAAACAAATACGGAATATTTATAGGACTGGTATTCATGAGTGTGTGCGATTTGATCCAAATAAAAATCCGGACCTAGTGAATTTTTAATTGTGGCTTCTGGTGGATGAATGTGCTCATCTAGTTTTTGATGCATATGTCGATAATGAAGACCCCCGGAGGAGCGTGGAGTGTGTAAAATACGAGCTCACTTGAACGCAGCTACGTGCGTTAGTTGCGTAAGTTACGACACTTCTTGTCTTCTGCGTGTAAGAGGACACCGCTTCCTGGTGTGGACCGATAATAATGATCTGATGAGGGACGAAGACGCGGATCTGAACGAGTCTGAGGAAAAACCTGTGAGTTAAACGAGTTTCCCGTGTTTCTGATGGTCTGGTTGAAAATGTGCGGAGGAGAGAAGAGGAGGAGATGATGAAGAGTCTCAGTCTCTGGGTCGATATGAAACTCTTGAGACTTTTAAAGCATCAGTTCTCAACAACCAACTTCAGGTAGATCATGTTTTTACACGTGAGTCTATCAAGAAGTTTCTGCAGACGAAGTTTCCTCTTGAGTTTATTTCCAGGAACAGTTTCCTCATCTCCTCCCTGATGACTCACTGTGAGAAGATGCAGTAAATGATAATAAAGCAACATGACTGGAATCCATCCACTGTTGTACACATGTATTTCTTTGCATCTGGCAGGTTGATGGTACTTTTAAACCAGTACTTTTACTGTAACAAGCAGAAATGCCATCGTAAAGAAATATTGCATTCAAGAGTTGAGGTACAAAAAAATCTCACGAGCAAACTGTAAGACTTGTTTGGCACTTTTTCTTTACTTTTGTCTCCAACTTTATATATTGTTGTATAGTTTAATAAAACTTCTATCATGTAGAAATTAAGTGAAATTTGAATCAAAAAAAGTAGATCTAGCTGTCAGATAAATGTAATGAAGTAAAAACGTTATTTTTTCCTTTTGCAATATTTTGGAATGTGATTATGTCGTGTTGACTAAAGTAAAATACCTAAGACATGTACTTAAGTATTTTCCACCACAACATTACAGTCATGTAATGAAATAACCTTTCCTCATGTGCTTCACTTAAGTTTGTCCATCAAATACTATTCTATTCTTCTACTTTACTGCATTCAGAAGCTAATTATTGTGTTTTATATTCTACTATATTTATGTGACAGATAGATAGAATAAGAGTTATGGTGATAAACCTCTAAGATGCATCACAGTGCTAAACATTAAACCATCATCTCTCAGCTGATGACCAGTCACTGTAACCCACTGTCTGTTTGGAGCTGCTTCAGATGTCAGATAATATAATAGAAGAGAAAGAGCAGTAACGGCCTAAAACTAAATTAATGTAGTTTGCAGAACTTGGTTTTACATTTTCATTTCACAGCCCCTCTGACTTATCTTGTGTTTTCACAGTTATTTGTAGGGAAATTGGAGACATTGTTGAGCTGAGCTGTTAATTATAATCACAACCTGCAGCAAACAATTCAACAAACTCAGAGAAGAAAGTTGATAATAAAGGAGAACCAATGATTTCATATTTAGTGAATCTTTCATGTCAGTTTGAGAAAATGGGAAAATGTTTGTGTTCTTGTCCTAGAATCTGTTCTGAATCATACCTCGTGTTCCAGGAACCTTTCAAGAAAATCATAAGGAAGTGAAACACCTGTAAAGTGAGGCTGTTGTTCTCTCAAGGCTTCACTTGTTCCTGTTGCTCGAGATAAGGAGTCAGGATTACTGGAGCTGCAACACATTTATGTTCATGTCCTCTGAACAGGAACAGTCTGAGAGAAGACAGCATTAGTTTGGAGGAATGTCAGACGTAAACACACCTGGAGGGGATGGCGGCTCGTTCTCCTCAAAGATCATCAAAGTGGTGTTTTTCATCCTGCTGCTCGACCTGCTGGGATTCACACTGATTCTACCTCTTCTGCCGTCCATTTTGGATCATTATGCACAAACAGGGGTCAGTAGTCTTCATTTTCTTTTAAGAAATAACCTGTTCTCTGTTCTCTCTATAAGAGAAGTGTAGTGATTTAAAATACACATTAGTGCATTTACTCATTATTGTCAGAGCAGACATAATAATAACATACTGAAATTCCAAGTTTATACTAGTGTAATGTTTTTATCTGAAGCTCTGAGTTAGTCGCACACATGTCCTCTGTGCACCGTGTGTTTCTTCTGCTCACAGTAAATTCAAATGAGGATCATTCGGTGTATCATGTGATCTCCTAATTTTCATGACTGATTAGATATGCAGCATGGGGCTGATTGTGCTGAGTCACACTGAATCGACCTGTTTCCTGCTTTATTCATTTGTCCCTGTGTGTTGTCATGTTTGTGTGTTTTCTTTTTTTCGTGCAGGATGTTGTGTATCAGTCTCTGCAGAGCGTTGTGGACTGGTTCAGGGAGGTTGTTGGGATTCCTATGGAGAAGAAATATAACAGTGTCCTGTTCGGAGGTATATTTAACTCATCTCGGCCTTTCGTAGAATTATCATCAAGTAAAAATAAACTTTTGGATATATATGTTTTTTATTTGCGTGCTGATTATGTTGCTCTGCAGGTCTGATCGGATCACTGTTCTCGCTGCTGCAGTTCCTGTCATCGCCTATAACAGGCGCTCTGTCAGACCGCTATGGCAGACGACCCCTGCTCATTCTTACTACAGTGAGTATAACACCACTCCTATTTTTAATACACTCTGTGTGTGTTACATTAAATGTAATGACTTAAGAATATAAATCTCAGTATTCTTCAGTGTAAAAGTATCAGTCAGTCACTAGAAAAATGGGTCTGACAGGGTGCTTTGTGTTCCTTGTGTTCCTTGTGTTTCCCAGTTGGGGCTGATGTCCTCCTATGCTGTGTGGGCAGTTTCGCGGAGCTTCAGCATGTTCCTTTTGTTCCGGGTAATTGGGGGAATCTGCAAGGGCAACGTCAGCCTCTGCACCGCCATCGTAGCCGACTTGCCTTGTCCCAAAGCACGAAATAGAGGAATGGTATGCATACATATTTGTGGCCTTTACAGAAAATGTTTTGTTGACAGAGAACATATTGAAATAATCTACATTTGTTTAAATTTGTTTCTCGGACCCTCACATTTCTTGGTGTTACCTCATGTTGCAGGTAACACGTTTATGCTTTTGTTTCAAATGTGAGAAAAACTTTTATTTTATTTTGTTGGGAACAGGCCATGATTGGCGTCGCCTTCTCCTTGGGCTTCACCGTGGGGCCTCTGATGGGCGCCTACTTCGCCCTGAGGTCCAGAACAACAGGAGGTGTCTTCTACCAGGCTCCAGCTCTGCTCGCCTTGGCCTTCAGTGTTGCTGATTTGCTCTTTATCTGGCTCATGCTGCCCGAGACACTCACAAAGGATGTCAAGGTCGGCTGCAGAAAGATTCACACTGACTAAAAAAATCACAGACGGGTTCATTAAAGGAGCCGTTGTCTCTTTTTCGAAGGTTCTAGATTCTAGACAACTAGAATCTAGAGTAGATGCTAATGGAAGAATAACAATAGGGAAGAGAATCTTGAGTGAGCATCTTTTATTTTTTTTAATTCGAGACTAAACTTCCGGAGGCATTAAAGGGATCCAAATAAAATATTCTGAAGAAGTCTTTTAGGAAGTGAAATCAACATTTTAAACTACTGAACAAATTCCTGTTCCACATTTTGATATTCTATATATTTGTATGCCAGTGACAGCCAGTGGTTGTCCTTCACAATATCTCAAGAAAGCCTTGAGGATATTTTTATACATTTGGTACAAACTCTGACATAAAGATGCACTGATTATATTTTGTTGGTCAAAGGTCAGAGTTGCTGTGATATCACAAAAGCAAAAATATCTCAGGTAATCCTCCAGGGAATTCTTTCTGATTTGCTACAAACATATAGTATAGTATATTTTGGTGAACAAAAGTCAAAGGTTAAGAGTCGGGGGGGTGTTAACAGTACAATTCTAGTTAATTTTGTACTCTAGTATTCTCTAGCCTCTCTTGTTGCCACATTTGTTTCTCGTGCAGCTTCTAATTTTTTGTTAAGCCAAAAGCTATTGTTTTTGTTTCACCCTACAGGCTTCGTCTTCAGGGTTCGAGAGCTCCAGGAACCTCCTGAACCCATTATCTTTGTTCCGTTTTTCAGCTGTTACCCAGACAAAAGATCCCCCTTCAAAAGAGAGTGAGTACTGCACACACTGGATTCCTGTCTGAGGCAGGAGGCGTGCTCTCATTGGAACAGTTTTTGAAGCATGAATAAACCTTGGCACGCTGACAGAAGGTTGGATTGTCTCTCTGCAGGAATGCAGAGGCTTCAAGTGTTGGGCCTTGTTTACTTTTGCTACCTCTTCCTGTTCTCTGGTCTGGAGTTCACGCTGAGTTTTCTGACTCACCAACGCTTCCAGTTCACAAGGTGCAAACTCCACCATAAAGTTGTGTTCTCTCTCAGGGGAAGCGAATGCACCTGTGCAGTAACATTGTGTTGTCTCTCTCCACAGTATGCAGCAGGGAAAGATGTTCTTCTTCATTGGTGTCATCATGGCTTTGATACAGGGGGGATACGCTCGCAGAATTAAACCTGGACACCATATCAAAGCAGTCCGTGTGGTAGGAGCCTTCAGGACATGTAAAACATACATGTGTTGATGAGTCATGAGGCTGCAGCACAAATGTCTCTGAACTGTATTTCTTGTTTTTAGGCGATCATCACACTAATTCCAGCTTTTATCCTAATCGGGTTATCATGGAATATGACAATGCTGTATGTCGGCTTGGCGTTATACTCGTTTGGTGAGTTGTGTTCACGTTCACTCAGGTTGAATGGAAATGATAAGCAGTGCCGCCTCAATACCACACATGTGAATCACAGTTGTGCAGCAGGTTATTATCCACAATGAAAGATGTGAATGTTACTAAAGCTTGAAATGAATCTACATCTGAAGGATTTATTCATTTTTGTGAAATGGAAAATGTCTCCTGTTGCAGCGGCTGCGATAGTAGTTCCCTGCTTGTCCACTCTTGTGTCTGACCACGGTGAGGCTCTTGTTATTTCTAAATTATTTCAACTCACAAACCATTATGGTTATGATATAAATGTGTTAATCACTGCTGTGGATGTAACTCCAGGCTCAGCCAGTCAGAAAGGCACAGTGATGGGGATCCTGCGTAGTTTGGGGGCCTTGGCCAGAGCTCTGGGACCAGTCGTGTCGTCGTCTGGTAAGAAAACTTGACAGATATGTTTATAAAACAATATTTTATTATTAAGTTCTAATTAAGTCTTCTGGTGATATCAATCAGTTGAATGAAACAGCACCATTTAAACTGTTTAAACTCGTGTTTGCTTCACAGTTTACTGGATATCTGGAGCTCAAACCTGTTTTCTCATCACATCGGCCTCTTTGATCGTCCCGCTCGCTCTCCTGAGCACAGCTGCGAGGCAGAAGGACGAGTGAGAAGGACAAAGACTTGAACAGACTTTAAAAAGAAGTGACGGCAGAGACATCCTGATATTTTGCTGCCTAAACGAATGTAATGATGTTTACATCTGCTGGGAGATCAAGCACTAAGTTATTACTTCATGAGGAGATGTTCGGTACACCTGCTGCGCTGCTGCCTAAGAATCAGTTCATGAAACTCAATAATGCAAAAAGATGATGCACGAGCCAAAACCAAAGGGGGACCAGAGCGAGGGAGGTCGCTGTGTAACTGAGAAATGAATGGACGTCATGCTTTTTACTGTGCGTGCTCATGCGAATATTATGTGAATAATATGCACTGCTTGAGCCAGGGTGGGGTTACAAATAGTTTGTAAAATAAATCATCATCATTTTATATAATACCAGATGATTGTATAAAAAGATTCTTGGTACTGTGACTTAACTAAAGTGGCAGAAAGTAATTTAGTGCATTTACTCAAGTAAAAATGTTGATGTACTTTATTTTAGTATTTCCATTTTATAAAAAACATTTTCTACATGTATATATATATTGTTCTTCACAACATGTTGAGTGCTAAAGTTTTTGAATGAAAGAATATGATCTAAAGAATAATGTGCCTTTTTTATTAGTGAATTCCACCTCAACAGCTACAACATTAAACTTTAGTTAAACGAATGAATGGATTCATTTTCTTTTGATACTTTGAACATTTTACTTTATGTGACATCATTTTTTTTAAATGTGTGGCTTGATATATTTGGAAATATTGTATGCACAACTGATACTTATAATAATTTTTTTTTTAAATATATACTAAATAAAGAAACCCTTCTACGAGACAGGACCACTACATTAGGCAGTTTTTTTTTTTTACAAAAAGTAAATTGATAAATTGGTTGTTTATTATTCTACCTGGTTCTTATTTAAATTATGGTAATCCTAATTTGATTCAAGTAAACTTTATAATAATAATAACAATACTACTACTAATAATAATAATTGTGTTATATATATTATATACACATGGGTCACAAACAGAAATATGATTAAATAATAAAATATATAAAATGCAGATCAGAATCAAACAGTAAAATATAAAATCCGCATTATAATCACCCATTAAAAATAAAAACACTAACACTGTCAGTCTGAGGCCTCTGTGGGGATTGAGGTGTAAAACGCAGTGAGGTCAGTAGGGGTCGCTGTGGGCTCTGCGCGTCTCACATTTCGTAAACATCAGCTGTTGCCTTCAGGCTCCAGGAGCTGCCTCCGTGCTAACAGGTTGTTAGCTGTTAGCCCGCTGCGCTAACACAATGTCGGCGCAGATAAACGCGGCCCCGTCGCTTCTGGGAGTTTGACAACACGTGGAAGATCCGGTGAACATGTGGAAACGTGACTGCGTTTAGAGAGGAATCTGAAAAAAATGGAAAAGGTACGAAATGTAAACGTCACGTGTTTGGTTGTTGTTTTTTTTAGCAAGCTAGCCAGTGATGCTAACGTGCACCAATGCAAGTAGCTCACCCAAAGCTAACTTTCTTCTTTTTTTTAATTTAGCAAAGTTCAGCTGCTGTAAACTTGTGTAGACGATGCTTGTGAGGCCACAGCCGCTTCGAACGCACGGTCGAGCTGCGAGTGAAGACACTTTATAAAACACCAGTTTTGACGGATCACTCTTAAAATCACGAAGACGTAGCTTTAGCTGGATGTTAAATCAACGCGCTAATAGTCAGCTAAGTTGTCTAATCAGAGCCTGAGCTTTGCACGTGTCACAAAACCTGGATAAAGTGATCGGATAGTGTGAATGAAGTATCCGAGGTTACGCACTGTTGAGCTCATTAACGTGGTTGACAAAGGTCGCATTTAACACTGTTGAGCAATTTCCCACTTTTGCTCTGACTTCGCATCACTTTACATGTTAAACTAGCTCTAAATACAAATGTTTGCATTCGAGGAACAGATGAATGATAAAGTTATTGATATTATTATTATTATTATTGTTGTGATGATGGTAAATAAGAGAATGTCATAGGTAAGTCTGGAACAGGACCTTTAACTTGATAAATGCAACACAGTTTTCAGATCTCTCTAATCCTCACATGGAAGAAAGGTTTTAAATAACTACTACAGTTATGTTGCAAAAGATTGAAACTGCAATTCATGTTAAAACCTGTGACAGTAAACAAATGTGTTTCCACTCTGCCATTAGTTTTTTTTTCCAGTATAATTATTCCAACCTTACCAAGCAATGAATAAATAAATATGGTCTTATTTTTAAGGGTGAGAGACTGTCGAGCTAAAGAATTATGTTGTGGTTTTGTCTCTCCAGCCTTTTGACCCTAAACACCAGAGGAGACTGATAAAGGAGCCTGCTGAGTCTCACACAGCTTCATCGACCTCTCTGATATTACCAAATCCATATGTGTCTGGCCATAATCCAAAGGGGTAAGAACTAATGGCAATAATTGGGCCGACTTAATGTCTGGGACACTTTTGTAAAAGATTCAGCTACTTGTACTTTGTGTAAATGTTGGATCTCTTCAGGAACCAGTCAGGTCTGAGCCCAAAGGCAGCAAGAAAAGAAGACGTACCAAGGAATCACGGCTGCAACAACAATCGTCGTGCTGGAGACACCAGTGATGGTTTCCTATGGAGAGACAGGTCTACACGGGATCCACAAGCAAGGGTTAGTTTCATTTTGAACCCAGAGAACTAAGTGAACCTAACATCTTTCATGAAATTAATTTCAATGATTTGTATTTGTCTCTACAGGCATCAAGAAGCAACAATGGCTTCTCAGCCCAAAGCAGAGTCATGGACCAGAGCACAACGGATGCACAGAGAAAAGGTATTTATCACACAGGCCATTTTTTCCCTTAAAAATTATTCTCAAGAAATCACATACACAAATTGTTTTCTAAACTTTTCGGTGACCTCATCATTTAGTTTGTTTTACTCAAGTTGATAGAAAATATATTTTTTGCAGAGTTTTACAAGAGTTTTATGTAATTGATCCGCAGGTTTTAGAGGAGCCAGATCTGCCATGAACTCTGCAGGGACGTCAAAACCAGCACAGACCAACTTGGTCCCATTTGAAGTAAAGATGGCAGATTTCCCAGAGCTGGCTGGTGTTCCACTGAGCAAAGCAGCCCCCCCTCTTCTTCAGAAAGAGTGCTGGGGTCCTATTCCTCCCTCCATGAGCCCTCAAACACCCCCCCCTGCATCTACCTGGAAGGTGAGCCCAACAGTCCTATATGTTACTGTGCAGTATTATAGTTGTGGTTATACTCATGACTTAGGACTTTGCTACTTTTGAATAGTCCGGGAGGAGACGATCCCCAACACGGCCGGATCCCCAACAAAGAGGCACCAGTGTAAAACCAGATCCCCCTGCCATCCCAGCAGGTAGGGCGAAACGTCTTGTTGTCACTCTTCCAATGTCTATAAAGCAAAGTCAATAATATTTCAGGATGTATCATTGTTTTTATGTGAACAGATCAGCCAGTGGTGACATCGTGGGCTAATGTCGCCTCTCAACCTCCGAAGAAACTCGTCCCTAAAGAAGAAAAGACAGTCAGCGGCATGCAGGTTAATACATAATCACTAATTATAATAATAATATGGTTTTAAAATATAAAGACAGTATTCCAGCCCTCACCTATGGTCATGAACTTCGGGTAGTGATTGAAAGAATAAAATTGCAAATACAAACGTTTCCTCTGTGAGGTGTCCGGGCTCACTGTCACAGTTAGGGTAAGGAGTTCAGACATGCAGAAGCTCTCTACTCTGTGTTCCTTCTCTGTACAACTGATTTCTGAAAATGTTTCCTTCCTCTTTTATGCATCCTGTCAGTCAGAGGAAATCGCTGCAGCGCAGGAGGAAGGCACCGCAGGGAAGAAAAAGCGCAAGAAAAAGAAGAAGAAAGCTAAAGGTGCTGATGAAGATGCAGAAGTGGAGTTTGAAGAACCTGCAATTTATCAGGAGCCTCCGAAGTTTGAGGTGAATAAAAATGTTTCTGTATTTTTATCAAATTTAAAAAGAAGTGAAGATTTCTTTGAAATATTGGATTGAAGATGATTTGTTTTTGTCTTGAAAGGATGAAGAGGAGTTTCCAGGCTTGACTCCTGCTTTGACTCGGACTAAGCTATGCAACGAGGTATATTTATCTTTTTGAGATGTTTTCACATATTAGTCATAATGCTGTGTTGTAATTTCCTGCAGGGGTGGAGCATACACATTTCTACATGTGGGGTCAATGGAGTGTCATTAAAATATATTAGGTGAAATTTAATTAGCAAAATCTCTGTTCCCTTTGTTAAGGAAAACCAAAGAATTGGAGGTCAGCACCTGACTGCTGACCAGAACAAGGAAAAGTCGACTGCAGCAAAAACTCAGTCCACAGAGACGACTAAAAAAGGACAGGTTTGTTTTTTCAGCTTTCATTCAATTAATTTGTCCTTTAATATCATCCAGGTGAAAGCCTGTTTTTTACCCCTGGTATTGGTCTTTTGATTCCTAAAAAACTGAAAAGGTTTCTGGAAAGAAGAGCAAAGCTCCTGTTCAGCTGGACATCGGAAACATGTTGGCCGCCTTGGAAAAGAAGCAGCAATCTCAAAAAACCAGGCAAGATGCCAAACCAGTCATTCTCTCAGGTGGGTTTAGGTCGGCAGCGATGAATCGTCATTTGTCTTGTTTTTGATGTGAAAGTATATTCTTGCAGATAACAAAAAGAAATACTTAGAGCTGTGCTTACAGATCCAGATCTGTCAGTACAATGTTTAAAATGTGTCCCAGGATAAGTGTCTTTTAAAATGATTTCTTTGAAGTTGGTGGGGGACTACCTGTTGTCCAGAAGCAGCCATTAGTCCAGAAGAAGCCGCCTTGGCAGCAGGGTCAAGTTGCACACAATCCCCTGGACTCCACCTGCCCAATGGTGAAGAAAGGAAAGCAAAGAGAGGTGCCCAAAGCCAAGAAACCCACTCCCCTTAAAAAAGTAAGTCCACTGTCTTTAAAACAAATACAGACGGGTTAAATTTTATGAATCATTTATTTCAGCAGATCAACTTGTTATCATATTTCTGTCTGATCCTCAGGTCATTTTGAAGGAAAGAGAGGAAAGGAAGCACAGGCGTTTGCTGGAGGAGAGAGGTCTAATTTCTGAAGATGAGCTCAAACCTGTTAATGATGCAGATGAAGAGCAGTGCGACATAAATATCACAGGTCAGAGCAAGCGCGTGAGAAAACACAATATAATTGATTCCTATGGTGATCACAGTGCAAGTTTGATTTTGATTGTATTTTGTGCTTCTCAAATATCAGATGAGGTTGGGAATCCGACAGAGGATCTTGAGGATCAGTCGGAGTTTATTGGCACAAACTTGATGGTGAATGAAGGTGAATGTGATGAGGAGAACGAAAACGAAAAGGAGGAAACCGTAGAGCAACAAACCACCTCACCCGTGCCCTGCGCAGTCAGTCGACCCAAAATCCACAGCAGGAAGTTCAGAGAGTAAGACTGTAAAAGCATCCTTACTCTGATTCAAGTTTAAATCTTTCCTGTGTGTTCATTGTGTGCGGAAGAAATACGTAAACATTTAATCTCACAGAATTGAAATCTGTATCTTGTCTGTCAGCTACTGCAGCCAGATGCTGAGCAAAGATGTGGATGAGTGTGTGACGACCCTGCTGAAGGAGCTGGTGCGTTTCCAGGACCGCCTGTACCAGAAGGACCCCATGAAGGCCCGCATGAAGAGACGCATCGTGATGGGGCTCAGAGAGGTCTTGAAGCACCTCAAACTCAGGAAGGTCAAATGCGTCATCATCTCGCCAAACTGTGAACGAATCCAATCCAAAGGTATTGTGTAGTTACATGGGAGTTTCATGAAAGCAAATATTGTTAGTGCTTTACATTTCTCAAGAAGCGGGACTAGTTTTCAAATTGACTTCTAATCTCTCACAAGTTTAAACCCGGGAGCAACTGAGTTCAGACACGTTACAGCTTAGCACACAAAATGCTTGGAATTCTGACGCCGTCATAGAGAAATGCCATCTCTCACAGGCGGCCTGGACGAGGCGCTGCACACCATCATCGACACGTGTCGTGAGCAGGGGGTACCGTTTGTGTTTGCGCTCTCCAGGAAAGCTTTGGGTCGCTGCGTCAACAAGGCGGTGCCTGTCAGCCTGGTGGGCATCTTCAACTATGATGGTGCACAGGTCAGGTTTAGTTCACACTAATCACTAACAAGATAGATGTAACGATAAAGAAAAAGTTTTAGAGATGACAACTTTGTCTTACTTACAGGACCACTACCATAAGATGATCGAGTTGTCGTCTGAGGCCAGGACAGCTTATGAGGTGATGGTTTCCAGTCTGGAGCAGAGTGACCAGGCCGAGGCAGAGCAGGCAGCGAACAGTGAGGAAGAGCTGCAGATCAGCAGCATGGCTGAGGCTGAGCCCAGTCCAGAGAGCACACATCCAGAGGAACCAGAATACAGTAAGTTACAGTCCCAACTGATGATACCTGTTTACACAAGGTGATCCTAAGAGATAAAACCAAGGGAAACATGACATGTTGTGATTTGACCAAGTTCAATAAGAGAAGAATCAGTTCACCATTTATGGTTGAATAAAAATGAAATAATACTCCTTTTGTATTTTTTTCCCACCAGTATCAATTTGGAAGAAAATGTTGCATAAGGAGTACAACCATTCATTTTTGAACTTTGAGGAGCAGCTCAGCTCCTTGTGTTTGGACAGTGAAGGTACTGAAAACACTGATGAAGATGTGAACAGTTGACAGTGGTGAAGCCCTCTGTGCCTGAAAAAGAAAATGAACCCACATGTGCTGATAACCAGCAAAGAAGAAACGAGGATGGACTTAATTTCACATGCAGAAAAACATCAGCACAAGGTTCTTCTGCTGCAGCAGAGCTCAACCTGAGGGGGTATTCAGGAAATTAATAATGAATCTTTTTTTTTTTTTAAACTGCTAAAGTAATATTTTTGTGTTTGAGTTAAAGATAAATGGGCAAATCTGTGTATATCTGAGGGTTTCTAAACTGGAGATTAACCACTAACATACTAGGACCAAAGCTGTCACTTGAATAGATCCCACAATATGAATTTTGTGTATAAAATATGAACCAAGAAATAATCAATGATCATTTTGTTTTAGCCATTGTGTCGCAGCTCTTATCTTATTGATCCTTATTTGAGCCCAGTGTTGCACCTGCAGGCCACCATTGCACAACGAGGTTGAGTTTAAAGTTAGGAATTGAACTATGTTATTAATTTACCTTAAAAAATGACGTGAGGAAGAAATACTTTTTAAAGGAGACTATACTACATAGGGTGTGTTTTTTGATGGTAAACAGTAGGTACAATGCACAATATATGGGCTGCCAGGGATTATGTTCTTTCAATAAGAAAAACTGTTAAACTAGACAATGTGCCTGCTGGTAGTTGAGTTATAGAGTAACGTAAAAGGAACTAGAAAATTCTTTTTTTTGTTTACAGTAATTGAAATTGCTCAGTGACAATCACTTAAAGAAAAAAAAAGCAATACATTTCCACATTTTAAGCGGCAAAATTAAGTCAGAATTTAGATTTAATTGATCAAGATCTAAAGTTATAGAAGATTCACTTATGTTAAATGATCCTTACTTTTGAAAGTCAAAATTACTAATATTAACATTTGAGTTTGTTGAATCATATTGTAAAAGTGATTCAATGTCTGATTTGGTTAAAAAAAAAGAAGAAGCTTGTAAGTGCAGACAGAGAACCTCAGTGAATCTTGCGGGATTGGGTTCAGGCAAGTTGGATTTAGTGTCATGACAAAGTTGATTGTTTCTTGATGCACTGACAAAAATATGAAAGTTTAACAAGAAATTGGTTTGTTGTTAATTATATTATTTCTCAAAGTATAACTGGATTTTGATCTGAATTAAGTTTATTTAGTTATATCTGACATTTCTTTATTTTGATTAAAGAAAATACATTTATTTTCATGGGATTATTTTTATGACTTCAGTTCAGAAAGAGCAGAGACACAGACATGCTACATGCTACTGAAGCGTCTGTCCTTAACCTGAGGCCAAAAGAATAACTGCACTATGCAAAGTGCCACACAAGACCAGACTCAATGCTGAAGATGCACACAGATGTCAAGCTATGTCTGCTGTCTTTGTTTCTATGAAACAAACAAATCACAAGATGTAATTGTTACACATTTGAATATCTTTAAATGAATGAATCCTTTTGTACAATGTGATTTAAAGTTGCCTGTTTAATTCAAAAATGATCTTGGTCTCAAAGTCAAACACTTAGAATTTCAAATTCGTCACTTAAATGTGTGTTTACTAAATCAAATCATTTGTGACTTTAAAGAAAACAGGATATGTCCTTTTGGAATGAAACTTCAAATCAGTTAAAGGAAGTAATTCAATATCAGCTGCATTTTGTGTCGTGCAAAATAAATAATTGCTATTAAATACATTGATTATTATTCGCTATGCAGACATCTATTGTTATTCATCCAAACGTGCCTGTTGCTTACATAAGAATATGTCACCTCGTTTAAAACTTCATTATCATGAATTTGTAATGTGAATGTGACGACATAGGAGAAGCAGTGCAGTCTTCTGGTGTGAATATCCCAGATAAACCAGAATGACTCGTGTGTTCCAAACCCTGGGGCTGAAGCAACAAGCAGCAAAGCCATTAAGTAACATTTTAACCACCAACTACTCTTCTGCTGATTCTCCATTCCTTGCTGCTAACGAATGTTCAGCGTAACTACAACTGAATTAGCTCGATGTTATAAGGTTTCATGTTTCCTATGTTAACAAAACTATTTTTACACAAATGCAAAAGTGTCAGACCTCATGGAGTAAAAGTTGTAATTATAATTCATCCTCAGGAAATCCTGGATATCTGCAGCAAATATCACAGCAATGCATCTAATCATTGACAAGATGTAATGTTATATATTCAACTTGAACCACAAACGTTAACAGAGGACACATAAGGGGATCATCCAAGTCAGTATGGTTCTTCCTCTGGTGACCTTGAATGTCAACTGTCATTGCAATCCATCCAAGTCCTTTACACAGAAGGTAAAATCAAGAATCGAGTTTTTAGAAAGGTGCTGAAAAGATGAGTCTGAGGAAAGTGATGTTTTGTTTTGAACATTCGAGCTTGTAAACCTTTTCAAGTAATAACACTAATTCTGAATACGAGCAGAGTGTGGCCCCTTTAATTGTTAAAATTAAACTACACTTTACATTAAAGGTGGTGTAGGGATAGTATAAACATATCCGCTGCCAATTAGTTCCGGGCACGCTCCCACTACACTGGCTCCAGCTTCATGAGGATTTCTCTGCTTCTTATTGCTGCACTCTGTGTAGCGGTCACTCTTCTCCCTACAGGAGGAGTCAGCGGAGGCGCTTTGTCTCCGCAGGAGGAGCATATTGTCACTGACCACCTCCTCCACCTTGCTGTAGTCCTCTGATATGTTCTCGTCTCGTCTCTGAACATCCATGCAGCCAAGGACTCTGTCTCTATGGAGGATGAGGATATTGTCACCGTTCACCTCCTTCACTCTGGTGTAGTCCGCCTCACTCACATCCACCTCCTGCATGTTCTTATGTCTCTGAAAATCCACGTAACCGCTGTTCGATAGATGTTGGACACCGCTCCCAGTGGCAGTGTCGCAGCTCGACCACCCCTGATTTGTGGTCTCTGGCAGTGTCTCCCTTTCATATAAACTCACTCCTGAGAGAGACACATTGGTGTTTGCAAAGTTATTTATTTCATTCCTTCTTTCCTCTGCCTTCTCCCTGTCACTTTGGCCCGGGGGCGACTCCTTGCAGTGGGTTTCCAAGTTTAAGAGGAAGCCAGTCAAGCTTTTCTTCCCTTTTTGAGAACTGGACGAGTTGGGCAGACGCACGTCATCAGACACGATTAAATACTCCTCGATCTCGTCCTTCCAGGCCTCCACAGAAGGAAATGTCTGGTTGATGATCAGGGCATTGTTGACGTCTTCAGATCGTCCCCTCTGGAAGAATCAGAGAGGGATCTTTCAGCAGATTGTTAACAGACAGCACAGTATTTGGGCCATAATGTGGTGCTGATGAGCAAAATGATTATGTAATTCATTATTCGTGAAATATAACATAACAGGATGCCCCACATTCCTCAATTTAACAAATGTAACAGACATATCTCCTCATACTAATATAAGTAGTAAAATAGTAAAATTACGACTTCAATCTTGTAATATCATGAATTTCTTTCTTGTACAAAAGCAACTTTCCAGGGTCCAGATTTTGGATATGTTGGTTATAAAGTGCAGCTGCAGTGTTACCTTGAGAAGTTGAACGTCAATTCCTCGTATCTTTGGACCAGGAACAGGAGGCAGAAGACACTGCTTCACACTAACGAACAAAGAAAGTGAGTCACGAGTCAGAATGATCCTCCTCATCCTGATTTCACATTCAGACTTGTCAATCATTCTGTGTGGGAGATACATACTGTTTCCTCTTTATGACCAAGACACACATTGCTGTTAGAAATGGAACTGTAGAGAGGGTGGAAAGCAATATCCAAAAGGGTTTCTCACTCTGAGGATCTAAATAAGAAAAGAATGGAATATATGTTTTTTTTTATTGATTGTTAGTATCAGTTGCCTGCTTTTTAAAAAGCCAAAAAAAAACGCCTGAAACGCACAGTTAAAGGTTTTCAAAGAGGTAGAGTTGCTCCACTCGCTCCAGGAGCCATGGTCTAATCTGCAGCGGACTTGAACCACGTACATCACCCCGGGATTGATGTTGTACAGGTTGAACTGGGTTTGTGTTCCTGACGTGTACTCCTGCAGAAAGACAGAACATCTTATGTGCACCTTGCACCAATGTGTATTGACTGTAGATGGACAAAGATGGACAATATGACGGCTCCAAAACAAAGTCAGAGAGATTCCCCTCACATCATTTTATTATTATTATTATAGATGTCTTCAAAGCAAAAACTATGTGCAGTGTTTCTCACCCTCCACACGTTGGCGTCCTCTTGTTTTAATCTGAGTTCATATTTAATGGTGACCCATCCTGACTTGGTGTCTGTGTTTTGGGGACTCTCCCATCTGATGTGGAGATACGGGTTGTCCTCCCTCTTCATCACCTGCAGGCTGACGTTTCCAGGAGCGTTGGGCTTCACTGTCAAGAGGGCACATAGCAAGACAGTGCACAGCAGTGCTTTGAGCTACATGCTAATATCGGCACACTAACATGCAAATTAACCCCAACATATAACGCTACAGCTTTTTTCAGCCTATAACAAATGGGAAAACTTACTAATTATTACTTTCCATCAGAGAAGTCTGTCTGATATAACATAACCTACTCTGATTGAAGAGTTTGTCAAAACACTGAGGGAAGGTTTGGTGGCAACAAAGAAAACATCAGCTGTATAGAATTATTTCATGGAATTATCTGGAAACAAATGAAAATATAGTATGAGCTGTTGGTGGTGTTGCAGGAAAGGTCAAAGGGTCACCAAAGTCATTTAGAGTCATATCTATCCAGCAAATAGATTTTGAGATATTTCTGTCCTGACATTGGTTTTAAGAGGCCAGAAAAAACAACTGTGATTCGTTTTAAATATTTGACTCAGGGTAAGTTAAGATTCCTCTGATCCGTCAGTTACGTCTTTCTTACAAGACTTTGCTCCAAATGTACTGTAAATACAGCACATGGAAATCACATGTTCAACTGCCCGCATAACCAAACAAAAGACGTGAAACTTGATCCAAGACTGTACCCAAGGTTTCCACCAGGCACAAACCAGTTCTGCCTCATTCTGTCTATGCTTTCTTTTGTGCCTCAAGTCTGTCCGTCAGTATTTTTCCATTCCTTACCAAGCAATAGAAAAACTGCACTATAAATAAAACTGTGCCAACATTTAGCTCCATCAACGCAGGTCGTTTTCAGCTGTTTTAACTTCTACTCTAACAAATACACTGATCAAGTGGTGATCAATAGTTCAAAGTGTCTCACTGATATAAGACACTGATGAGCTCAGCACTGATTGTTCATTATCCTCCAGAAATCTGTCTTCATGTCTTTCTTTGTTTGTCCTTCGATTTTATTGACAATCGCTCAACTGATCGACTTCGCAACCCTCACCCTCTATTTCTTACCTGCGCCAAGCAGCTTATATTTTCACCTCTGTCCATTTGTTTGTTGGTTTGACTGAAAGCCAGATTACACAAAAGCTATTGGATGGATTACTGCAAAACTTGGCTGAAAGGAGGTGGTGTCGGTCAAGAAAGAACACATCTTGGTGCAGATCCATGGGCAGGATTTCTTTTTTGATCACTATTCAACTGCCCTCACTGTGATATCAGCAGTGATGTCAGTCTTGATTCAGTAAGAATCACAGGAAGGTCTTATGTTTTCATCAAACGCAGGAAAAAACCAAGGAGCAGCTCAGAGAATGACGTGCAGACGGAAGATTTATTGAAATTCTTTGCTACTTACCAATCTCCATGACATCTATCTTAAAGGTGTCTGAGGTGACGTTCCCTAATGCATTGGAGGCCACCACTGTCAGATAATAATCCACCCAGATGGAGGTGTGGACGTTGTCAAAGAAGCAGGAGTTCTTCCCTGCAGAGAGGTAGTCTGGACACTCGTGAATTCCTTCCAGTCTGTACGGAGACAAAACGAGTCCTTCACTGACCAGGACATGGATGAATACAGCTCAGGGTGCATTTATTTTCAAACCATACTGATCAAATCATGCATCCATTACTTATCCTCACAGTTTTGCTAAATTTTGCAGAAATCCATCCAACAGTAATTGAGATTTGTTTTTTTTCGGGACCAAAGTAGTGAAACAACCAGCTGACGTCATCCTCAAACTGTCTGACGTGGTCAGTAATGGTATTTTTGCCCCTCAGGCCGAGGAGTGGGGGGGTGGGGGTCACACTGGTGTTTGAAGTGTGCAGGTTAACTTCCACAGCAACAAAAAAATCATGCACAGCTGACTGAGCACAAGTGTGTTATCAAGGGAGCTGGTAGTTTTCCACTGGCTCTTCTATAGCAACAGCAGCTTTACTGCCACTGACTCAGCGTGGGCGATAAACCTATGGGAGATTTAATTACCAGGTCATCAGTTGTTAATGCACACACTAAACTGTCATTAAAATCCTGCTTTGATCCCGGCTAGGAACCTTTGTTGTTCTCCTCTCTCTCACCTTCCCTGTGTTGCCACTGTTGAATAAATACAAAATTCAAAGAACAACAGTTGAAATGACCTTTCTCTCTCATAGAAGAAGCGATGCGTGGTCTGCAGCCCTCCGTCAGAGCCGGGCTCCCACCAGCATGTGAATGTCTCCTTCTCAGGGGACCTGCAGCCGAGGAGGACTGGTTTCCCCGGTGGAGACATGCCTGGCAACACATGAGAGAAACAAGTGTCAGCTCCCTGTTCCCAAAGTGACACGATACAAAACAAAAAGCATGGTGACGCTATGATTTAGACAACATGGTAAGGGTTGGTTTGCTTACATGCTCACCTTCAGCAGGATTTTAAAAAACAGTTTTGGTTTTTGTATACCCAGGTTTTAAGACACATGTCTGATTTCTTCGTCCAACGAGGTCAGCGAAGCTTAAATTAATTTGTGTACACAGAACTTAAAACCTACTATTGAAAAATTAAACAGCATGTTATCTACCTATTGTAAAAGTTGCATTTTAAATATTTTCCATTGGCACGGCTCCTCAGAATTTGGGTCTAATCATGTTTTTTCATGTCAAAAGGAAAGAGAACTGGAGAAAAAACATTTTACGAAGGGTTTATTTTTTAATTTTTGTTTAACACTGAGGAAATTCAAAAACTGAGACAAATACAAAATGTAAAAAAGTATTTTGTATATTTGGCAAACAATTTGTAGCAGTCTTGTGGCTTTTAGCCAAAAATATTGTCATTCAAGCCTCTGAACTTACTGTTGCACTCAACTGCTGCAGACAGCAGCAAGAGCAGAGCCAACCCGAGATCCATCCTCATCCTGGCACAACCCGTCACCTTCTGTGCCCTAAAACACAAAGTGACATCACAGGGCGCGAGGTCAACGAGGTGATGTGAACACGTGGCTCGGCTGCGTCTTGTTTTTACCTAAAACAAGGGCACGCAGCGTGAAAGAACAATAAACACAACCAATGATCATTTGCACATTTTGTAGCCAACACATACAGGCCAGCTGTGGTCGTCACATGCTGGTGGAACACGGTTTACTTAAGATGCTCGATTGCTTCAAAGGTATTTGGACTCAGTGAGAATGCATTGATTACCTCAGAGTGGGCACTCTGCAGATTTCTGATTGGTTCACATTCCTGAGTAGTTGATCGTGTCCCTCGGATCTCTGGAGAAGCAGCTTCTAGTCACAATGCAGCACAGCACTGGAACCAATTGCTTACTTTGACTGAACATCATAAAACCTGTTTTTATCTGTTTCATATATACAGATTTTATCATTTTATCTCTTCTACCTCTTTTAGTTTGCTTGGATTTTCTATCTATCTATTTATCAGCTGAACACAGGCCCAGTAGAACTGCATTCCAATCTCTATGTGGAGGCCTTGAAACATTAGCATGACATTTTAATTAAATATATGATTTCTTAGATTGGGGAAACGTGATCTAACCTGCAGATATAGAACTTTTAAAAGCTAAATTACATTTTTTTCATTGTCAGTCAAGCCCCTTGAAATACACTATAAACATTATACCACACATAGTAAGCTTTAAAGTATTTTATTACATCCTGTGAATACACTGCACACCTATATATCATATCTACACGTCTGGGTGCACACGAACATCAAAATGAAACTAAAACTCCAGTGATTTCATGAATGGAATGAATTTGAAAGGCATCTAAACTCCTGCAAGGACAGTAAAAAAAAAATATCTGACAAATTTTTAAAAAATAAAAACATGTAGAGATGACTCACCTCACGGTTTAGGGCGGGTGTCAACCTCTTCTGCTACATTGAGCTGATGTTGATGCGTCCACAGGAGGAAAAGTAGAGTGACCTCCTGAACACCTCCTCACACCTCCTCTCACCTGAACACAGGTGAGTCTGATGTCAGGTGTCAATATGAGAAAGAGGAGTCATGGAGGGGGGAGGGGTTTATGATGACGTCAATATGTGTCCACCTCACTTGAGGAACAACCAAAGAGTGCAGCAGAGACAAGATGTCTCACTTCAACCCTCATTGTCTACTCACCACCATGCTGATGAGCTGCGTCTACAATTTGATATGCGTTTCTAATGTAATTAAAATTATTTATTTTTTATACTGTCAAATTTTTATTTCCTAATTGAAGTTGACTATTGACCATGATTTGTTGGAAGCGTTGGTCAGTGGCCAGTGAAAATTGGACATTTTCTTTATGAAATGTTGTAGAAGTGATCGTCTGAAAATTACTGAAACAATTGCTGAGATTAATAGAAATAAAGTGTTGAATACTGATATTATCTGTTTCCCACCTTGTTAAGTCATTGTTGATAATTATTGTGAGAAATCATTAACGTCATCAGTGTCTTCACATCTTTTATCATTAATAATAATATATAACTAAAGGCAAACTGAGCAAACGTGTTATTTCAGAAGAACTGGTAGCCCTTCGTATGACTCAGTAGCCATGAAGTAGCTCTCAGTTTCAAAAAGTTTGGTGACCCCTGCTTTAAAGTTTACCCACAGTGAATCATCTTGACGCGCGTGTCACCTTTGGCGCGGTTGCAGTGGGCGTGTCCGTGTCGCTTCTTTCCAGGAAGTAAACTTGTTGAGTTTTTGTGAGTTGAGTTGTGAAGTGAAACAGAAGAGTCTCCGGTCTGATGGTGAGCTCCTCCTGTCGTCGGTCATGTCGGACTCCTCGGACAGATCCACGAAGATCCACCTGCTGAAGGAGCCGCTGGTGAAGAAGCTGTGCGACGTGTTGGACAAATCCAGCGGCAGAGGATGGCGGCGACTCGGAGAGATCGTCTGCAGCGAGCGACGCCTCAGAGTCAGGTGGGATGGAAGTGACTCTGTCCTGCGGACACTGAGACACTCAGACACAGTTGTTCTAATGAAAACAATTAGAGTGATAATTTTGAATGATATCAGCAACAGTTCATATAATAATAATAATAATTGTTGTCTGAATCCTGCAGCTCTGGAGTCAGAGATATAGTAGAAATATTCTAATGTAGTATACAGTTGTAGTGCAAGTCAAGTACCCTGCATTGTGTCACACACTGTATATAAAACGAATACAGTTTTGCATCGTATTCTGTGGAGCTGTTTAATTGTCCTACATAATATAAAGAGCTGTAGATGTTGTTTATTCTTACATGTTATAGGTTCATTTACACATTTTAAATAAGAGTAATGGCAGAAGATGACTAAATGTAGGTTGTTAATGTTTTCTGAAATCTGTTTTAAGGTGTTTGTAGAATCAAACATTTTTTTGCCAAATCACAGATTTTTAAAAGAGTTTTTGAACGAGAAGTAAATCTTAATTTTTCTGATAAAAACACTGATTGTTTGGTGTGTGGCTGTAGCCTGTGTATGAAAACTGTATATTTATACTTATCATTATTAAGCTACATGTCTGTATCAGTATCTGTCTGTAAATTTGCTCTCTGTGTTTAAGTATATTTATCTTTACTGACGACCTGAGTTGATTCTCATATCTGCATCGTTCTGCAGCTCTGACGACATGGAGATGTGCTCTCTGAAGGTGTTGCAGCTGGACGGCAGCCCGAGCCGCATGCTGCTGAGGCTGATGGGAGAGCGGGGCTGCACCACGGGTCAGCTGATGGACTACCTCCAAACTCTCGGCAACTCAGAGGCTGTGCAATGCCTGAAACCGTCAGGTAGAGTAGGACAACCCCTGCTGGGCCTTTTATTATGTTGTTAGGTAGATATTTGTTATCTGTGTTGTATTTTTAGATTAAAAGAGAATCAATGACTCATTCACAGTACAATATTTATGGAAATTGAGTGACATTTAGCTTGATTTAAACACGACGAAAGGGAGTGGAAAGTGGAACAGTGGAAACTTGATCATCACTGAATATAATTCACTGAAGTATTTTCAGATTTTTACGTTTTTTTTGCCAGTTTAGAGGTCAGATTAATCCCTCTCAGCTTGATTGCCTTTCCTTAGAGTTATGTTCAGATCAGAGTTTTGTATCTTGAATCTTAGAGTTTAATTTAGCCTATGTGAGCAACCAGTTTTTAAATAGACATATTTTGTTGAGAAATGAGGTCACGAAGCGTTCAGGAGTGGTTACATTTCAAACTGTTTTTCAGTTGCTGATGTCATTTTAATTACTGGGACAGGGTTTTGTTTGAAAGTGTCTTTAATGTTCAGCCTTGCAGATTCTCATCCAGCCCCAGTCACTGGCTCTTATATCGGGACACAATCTGCGGCTCAGCTGTCACGCTGTGGGCAAAGCTCCGGTGCAGTACCAGTGGTTCAAGAGTAAGGATGAGGTGAGACACAGACGCACACACACACACACACACACACACACACACACAGCGGAGGGTGGAAAAGAAGAGAGGTTGTTGAAACATACTGTCTGAATCATTCTAGAACTAAAGTGTTTGTAAAAAGTGTAAACTTGTGTTTGTGCACAACTCAGTATTTTTGCATCATTTCTTCTTTCTTTGTTTGATATTTATTCACTAAATACACTTGCCTGGCACGTCCTGTTAAATTTCCAAGTAAAAAAACCTATGAGTCACAAAGTGCTGTTGTTCAGGTTTGAATCATCTTCACTGTTGCTTCTCCATCATCCAAAGCAAAAGCACTGCCCACTCATTACTTCTTGTTGTATCTACAATACTGCAGCATTAAGAAACCTGTAGTCAATTTCTGCATTTCCCTTGCTCTGTTTTATTCATTCAACCACTGTAAGAAGCTTAGATAAATATCATACCATAGTCAAATACGCTTGTGTACAACAAACATGATGTTAACCAACCAATCCTCCAGCAGGTCTGATTTCCCAAAATAGAGAAACATGTCTCTATCTTTCCTTTATTGATCCTAAACATAAGAAAACAAATTATATTGTCTTTAAAAAATGAAAATGAAACATGGATTGCTGTGCAGCTTCAAGAAATCTCTGTAAACTGCATTTTAGTGAACATGCTGTGACACTGAAGCTCTAAATGCACCACGTGTTTGAAGAGATCCACGAGGATACAAGACAACTTCATCACAGAGCTGGTAGAGTGAGCAAAGGAGAGCGAATAAGAACCAGGGATAAAGAGTTGAGGTTTACATGGTGGTAAATATGATTCACATTTTCACCTCAGGTGCCGAACAGCTTCTCTCCAGACCTGGTGATAAGTCCGGTCCAGCTGAAGGACGCTGGCTTTTACATCTGCAGGGTCAACTGTGGGGAAACTTTTGAGTTCAGCCATTGGGCTCAGGTGGACGTCCTGAGTGTCACCATGCCTTACGGTAAGATATTGTTAAAGTCTCAACTGTAACAGCAGTTTCCTGCTTTGTGACTGCACGATACAGGTTGAACCTGTAACTCTAACACACTAATGATGTTTCCGTCTCCCTCCAGCACCAGGGCAGAGTTATCATTCCTTAGAGGGTCGGCTGAAGCTGGTGATCCAGCCTCAGACCCAGCGGCTTCTTGTAGGGGAAACCCTTCAGCTGGAGTGTGGAGCCATGGGACGACCGATCCCTCGATACCAGTGGCACAGAAATGGAGTTCCGATCCTCAACGCCACAAAGAGGAAGCTCACGGTGAGGATTTGTTTTTATTTGGAAACAATTTTACTGTGTCAAACCTTAAAAAAAACAAAACTGTTTTGTTACAGTCGACTGATCGTTAATGGCTCGCTGTGCGTTTCAGGTTCCTCATGTGACGCAGGATCACAATGGCAGGTATCGCTGTGAGATCAGCAGCAGCTCTGAGCGAATGTGGTCCAATGAAGTCGAGGTTGTCACAGGTATGTCAGCGCTGTGTTTGTCAGTTCCATTGTTACAGCTCAATCGGACCAGCTCTGTTTTCATCATGTCTGAGTGATTATTTGCTCTGTTCTCGACTGAAAGCACCGAGGATATCTGTCCAGCTCTCAGGGGCAATGGAGTGCTCCGAAGGTAGAGTTGAAAGACCTGGGTAGTAAATGGCAATAGGATAACAATAAGCTGGTGTACGCTGCATGGAAATGTTAATCATCACTTTTATTAAGACATTAACAAGCACAATGTTCACAGGGTTCTATCTCCAGGTGTCACATGCATGATTTCTAATTTGAATTATGTATTTTTCAATCAATTCTGTTAAAGTTAAAGGTTGTCACTATTCTATATTTGTTCCTCATAGTCAACAAATCCCATGAAAAGACCAAAACCAACACTGAATCTATCCTACAGTATTGTCTTTGTATTAGAGCCAGATAAAGCTTATTGCGCAGTGTCGTAGACGTCCATTGTTGTCTTACAAACACTACAAACTGTCAATAATCACTAGCAATAATTTCCCAATTTGGGATCAATAAAGTACGTCTATCTAAAATAATCACTAAAAACTACAGTGCCCAGCAATTTTAGAAAATCATCTTTTCAAAAATGAAACCACGTATTAGGAAACAATAGTAAGTCACGACCTTCAGGCTGCCGCAGATGGAATAGAGAAGTGAAAACATATTGAGAGAGATTTTAACTCACTGTTGACTTTTCATGGGATTCATTGACAAGTAGAAAAACACAGAATAACACTGGTCTTAATCTGTAGATTTATTTATTGGTTCGTCGTCTCAATCGCTGATGGTGTGAGGCTCACCTTCTCTCTGATCTTTTTTTCTTTAATCAAAAGAGCATTTTTCTAAAACTGCTCATGTTACGTGATGGTGACGTATTCATCTGTTTAATTCCTAGATGACCTCTATGCCATTGGAGGAGGTGAGTGTAAGAGTGCTCATCGACTGTTTCTACATATCTTTCCAAACACATGTTTTACTCACACTTGCGTTTTTTTTCGTTGTGTGTTGACTTCAGGTTCTGGTGATTTTTTCCTGAACAGTGTTCCAGACCAACTTCATGGTAAGAGTGTGTCTCACACACTTTGTTATGTAAAT